ACGTGACGTGCAGCGGCCGCATTAGGTGTGGAGACGGAAAGTTTAGGGATAGGAGAGAGCTACCTACCTATCTATCTATCTATCTATCTATCGATCTTACTTACTACGAAAGCACATTTATAGCTTGATGGATCTGCTTATAGTGCTACTGTAACTCTGGATCTCAGTCATTGACTTGGCTATCTAAGGAATCTCTTGCAATCCAAACCTAACTCGCTCAAGGCCCGGCAAGTGTTGATATAAATCTGTTACATTGCCCTCTCTCCACAAGAGAAACCTCTACCACACTACATCACAACACAGAGCATCCACATCACGGACCTAGCGCATCCGAAAGTCCTCTGTTGCATAGCGTATCGGGTCTCAGAAATCATGTCATGCATGTCGGCTCCAGCATCGGAGGATACGGAGCCTTTTGTGGATGGTGGGTCGCATCGGGGTGTCACATTGCGTGCATACGACCGAAGCAAAAACCATGCACATACGGCACGGCCCATACAGGCGACAAACCCGTACAAGCGATGATACGAACTAAGTATTGTCTGATGCGCAAAATGCCAGCAAGAATTTACAGTAAACCGTCCGTTAGGTCTGGTTCCCCCCCCCACATTCGATCCCCGGCACGCCTTTGAAGACCCTACTGCGACGATGCTGAGCCCCCTTCTCATAGCCGGTATACACCTTTTGAGATCCCTGCATTGGAACATCGTTTCATGGTCCTCCGCAGACCGCAACTGGTTACGGAGGCTGACAGGATGGGCTCCGTGGTATGCTGCTGCTGGCTGGATCTTTTCCTTTCGGATCTTTTTTGCGGCTTCGGTCTTGGACTGAGGAGTCGGAGATCGGTAGCCCTGGGGTCAGCTAGTGAGTACGACGGGTGAGCTAGGCTGAATCCGCGCGTATGTTCTAGTGCCTGAGCCACGCGCGTGTACGTAACGGACTTTTGCTGCCTGCGAGGCTGAGTGGACGCTAGAGGGTGGGAAGTAATGCTGATTCAGTCGCCCTTTCTCTCGTTGCAGGCTGTGTGGTTGATGCTACCATGATGGGTAGGCGGTCCAGCGCGGTGGCAGGGAAGTGCGGAGGGTCGTGGTGGAGTTTCAGCGGTCGCAGACGATGACTCATGAGTTGCTGGCGGGAACTCAAAATGTTGGGATTACGCCAGGCTGCAGCCGTGGTCGTGGTTGTTCTTGGGTGCTGGTATCGTCAGATTCCATTCCCTGGAATACGAGCTGGCTACGTGTGCTTGCTTGCTCATCGCAGCACCTCAGTTTGGTAGAGGACTTTTATTATTCGAGCAGTAGCACCATGAACTCAGGCTCCGTACTTCTTCAGTAAAAGCAGGCAAGCTTCAAAGGCGGAGTCTCGGATTTGGGGTCTAATGCAACGTCTAGGACGATCAGGGACGTGCATTTAGCTTAGTGTCTCCTGACCACGGATCGCGCAGCTTCGGCACTAATGGTCGTGCAGACTGAGCCCATCTTAAAGGTTATTCTGGTGCTGGCAACCTCAGTCATCGATTGCGAAGGGAGTTTCTTGCTGTTAGCGTGCAAGTCCAAGGTTGATGCGCCCCAAAACTCAGAGGTCGCTCGAGGAGAGAGCAAGGCGCAGCACCATTAGAACTAGGCTGCTGGCGAAGGCGGTCTTCACTAGCGTGCTCGTTCACTCTGCGACGTCTCCGTTTATCGAATGGATGGAGACTAGCCGAAATAGTGTGGAGCTCCCTAAAATAGTCCTAGATCAGTCGTCAACTTGAGCAACAGGCGAGAATACTCATCGGGATCAAGAAAGATATCTCGATGGACTATCATGCTTCTATTCCTGCATGTCATCGGCAAGGCTGAAACGAATTGCTGTATCAAACATGTGGAAGGACTTGTTGACCTTGCTTGGTTAAAATCTATCCTAGCGTAGCTGGGATTCGGCTAGAGATCCGCCTCCAGGCTCGAAATAACTCACGAAACCCAATCCTACGTGGTCTGTGCCATGATAGGAGTTATATTTGATCTGATGCTACTAGTATAGGTTCCGTCGGTACATCCCCACCGCCAAGCCAAGTCTGAAAGTCAATCACAAGGCAACGGCCTCCATAGACCATACCTGGTGTAGTAGTACCAAGTATAACCACAACTTGAATGTTCCGTTGCGTCCAGCCATCAGCGCCGCAAGCCAATGGCCAATCGTTTGCTAGATCATGAGCTGAGCAATCTGATGACAACCATAGTTGTGGCTCAAGGCCATAAACAAAAGCACGACCAGCGCAGAAAACAAAATCGGAGCCCAAGGAGAATCGACCAATGGCCGCTATGTCTACCGGTACCGCGGAGATGAATCCCGGGACCAACTCCTGCAAAGCGTCAAGCGGTAAGGAAGTTCCCCGTTGCTGGGAAAGCGAGCTCTCATTCTGCGTTTTCAGCATTGTGACCGCAGGATGGCAGTCTGCGATTTTTCAAGAGTAGCAGAGTGGTATTTGTGCAGATATTTCGATGTTCGACGTTGGGATCATATTTTTAACATGTAACCATGGGGGCGAATGTATGGGTGGAGGGGCGGAGCCAGCTTTCTATTCATAGTAAGAGTCTGCAAGATATGATATGCCTTAGAGGGTTACCTCGATCGATGGAAGACGGTCCGGGGTGACAAGGATGAAGGTGGGGGCCACCGAGACCTGAAACACAGAGCAAGGAAGCCTCATTGGTATGCTTGCTTTGACGAGGCTGAGCCGTTTTTTCCCCACTTTGAAGTCAGACTTGCGAGGGGCAACTGCCTTTTTGCAAAAGTGAATTGCAGGGAATCGTTCAGCAAGAATTGACAGCCCGTGCTGTAAGACGGAGCAGCCAATGCTCGACAAGAGAAGTGAGGCAATGCATACAATTCTTATGAGAATACACCTCCTTTTGCGGCCTAAGAGCCGTGATCATGGTAGCCCTTCAACAAAGATGGATGATCATGATCATCTTCATGATACGGCAGATGCTACAGACCGTTTTCTGTTTGTTCGTAAAATGTGACTTGTCACTTGTCACTTGTCAGTGTCCCGTCCAGAAATTTAAGGTTGCCAGCCAGACGATCCTGCCGCTAAAATTTCCACCCATCGTGCGCATTTATTTTTAACTCCTAGGGGTTGCGCGCTAGTGTTTCTTCCTGCTCGGCATTGCTTCCCTCTAACTCCTCACCAGCTATCGGCCATCAACTAACCCAACTTGACCAATCCATTCAACCAATCCTTTCGCTCCTCTCTGCAACTGATTAGAGTAAACTCGTGCGGTGCGGTCATGCCTTCCAAACTATCTCTGACACGAAAAGTAGCTCAAGAAAGGGATGTGCTGCTGTCTCGCCGTTCCAGCTGTTTCAGGCTGCTGGATGGACCACACTAAACTCATGGCCCTGCATTGAGCCTGTAGACCCAGATCTGTGGCCTGTAGGTCATGTTTATGGGGCGCGCATGTAGAGGTACAATTAGCCCAGCCCACAACAGTTAGCTCTTTGAAGCAGACTATCCAGCACTGGCCGTCTGTGCTCTTATCTTCTTGATATCATCATCGTACTTGTGACAGCTCCGCCACCGCGGCTTGCCCTGCCAATAGGCATTTCCTTCCTGCCGTTTGACATGCTGCCTGTAACGTCCAAGGCACCCCAATTGATGTGGAAGCAATGGGCTACCGACCTGCAAGCTCAGAGCCATACAGATACACTAGAACACAACTGATTCTTGATCGATCTCTTCGCTCCCCCGCAATTCGTTTATGCAATGGAGCTAATCTCCGCTGACGGTATGAATTGGGGGTGATATATCCGCACGTTCCAAAATTTGCCCTCCACCCCTCTTGAAGTATCATGCCGTCCCAGAGAAAAAAAAATCCTCCGAATCTCTAAATGAACTCCATAGTCTCTAACAATCCATTGGACGGAACAGTATGTTGAGCTTCGTGAATTGAATACAGTCCGTTTCGGCTTTTTTCAATGGAAAGACGACCAACGCTCTCAAGGGCATCACTCTCAATCAAAAAGGTACCATACCCTTGCCTACATATCCTCTGCTTCCACCCATGCAGGCACGGAACTTCTGCTGAGTTTTCCACCGAGACAGATCTCTCAACTAATTCAAATATTGGCCCGTGCAAATCCAGAAATTTGGCCCAAATCATCCATCACAATATCGTCCTTTATCCTCCAAGGTAAGCACTTCAACGCATGATGCAGCCAGGCGAAATCCTTCCAAATTTATCATGATTCTCATAGTCGACTTAGATCTACTAGCCTTGGGTTCCTTGTTCTCGTGTGAATCTGCTTCACATCGCCCGAGACTTTCGTCCCATTCGGTACTGGACTTCCCCATGCGAACACTATTCACGCTGGAATGAACCAACAAGATCTCAAATCAGATCTCTACATTTTAACAGCTTTATTAATGACCCGCTGCGAACACCCAGCATCTATTTCCGATCTCCAAAGTAAAAGGAACTGCTGCGCCCAATCTCCCACTCCCTTACATACAAGCGCCTCCTTTCCCAAGTCTCCTAGCACATTTCTCTCACCACGACTTCCTCCACATTTAACAACCCCAGCACCGTCAAGCTGGATTCCTTCACTTTCTCGGGGCTGGAAGTAAGTACACAGGTTCCAGTTTCGCTCCTCTATTCTTAGGACAGAAGGCCGAGTCAGACCGAGGAATGTTCTAAGCGAACCCTCCGAGTGCACCTTTGTCCGCGTCAACCTGGAACTTCATCTTCTGCATGCTAACCCTTTACCTTTCGTATACCTTTGAATGCTGCGATTCGCTGTTTGGGAAGGTAGCAGTCAGGAGCGAATAAGCAGTGACTAGACCTAAAGTGTTCGGTGGATCAACATGCTAATGATTTCAACTACAGCCGCAGACTCGCCACTTCCCTATCATCGTCGGCGATCACTACGAATTGGCAGAGACTGTGGACTTTCAGTATACTGGCGAGGATCAGGCGGGTCTATTGGCCAAGGCTGAATACGTCACGGCCTTGCTGCCTATGTCAGGGTACGAGAAGCCTCAGGATGCCAATGCGAATGGTGCGCTGCCCCACCTCGATAGCACCGCCCCCTCAAGATTCGGGTCTCTTTCATACCTATCTCTCGACTTAAAAACGTGAGCACGAAATCTAGGCTGACATCAGTGTTTGCAGAATACGACGCGAGAAGGCCATCACAGGCATACTCTAGCCTTGCCGTACGCCATGCGCGCCGACCCTCGCAAGACCCAATGTACCTGCAGAATGCTTTACCTGGTGCTGCGGACCCCCAGTTGCAGCAGCCCTCAACGGCGTATGACCGGCAGACTGATCACATGAACTACGGAGGTAGCCCTATTTATCAACCGCGTGCCACGTTTGAGGCAACACCATCGGCCTACCAAGACTTTGAGACCCCCAGAATTTTGCGGGTGTCCCACAATCCGCCACGAGGTACCAAAGGAGCTCTTCTCTACATATATCTTGACTCAACCAGCGACCTGCTACCGGCTACACCTTCGACTGTGACTCTGATGTTTGGGTCGCGTTCAGTTCCTGCCAGCCTGACTCGTCTGGAAGCTCCCGAGCAGGATGTCTGCTACAGATACATGGTCTCTGCCATCGCGCCAGCTTTCTCGGAGACAGGATCTTCAATTCTGAGGATCCCACTATGTCTACAAGTCCAAGAACAGTCCAAACTCGATGCGAGGCAGGTTGATGCTGGTTCGTGGCTATATGAAGATGAGAAGCAGTTGGAATATCGTTCGTCTCCCCAAGAAGTCTCCCGTAAGAGAAAGGTTACCGACGAGCCATCAGATACCCCTCGGTCGACCAAACGTATAACGCCGTTGGAGCAACAGACTTCACAATCTCAAGAGTACGAATCATATCCCTATCCATCAGCAAGCTTAGCATACCCACAAAGCCTACAACATAACCTCAACACCATGCAAAGAAAATACACTGCTTATGGGAGATCGCAACTCCAGCAGAGTCTCCAATCCGAGTCAAATACAGTGGGATCGCAAGGTCTGATTGGTGGTGCTTCGACTTCACAATCTCTAATGAGACCTCCCACGGGCCAGACCCCGTCATGGATTCCCTCTTATGGGGCAGAATATCAGTCTGGCAGAAACCCACTACCAAACGCGGCACCATCTTTCCAAGTCTCTTCCCTATCCTCTCCAAGTCCATCGAATCCACAGCTCGTACGCTCATCGACTTTGGCGCCGCAACCCAGTCCAAGTACTGCGTCTGCAGGCTCTTCCTCAGATCGTAAATTCAATCCATACACTTTGTACCCAAATCGAGCCGTGCTTGAGATTCGCGGGAACCTGAGTGCGATGCAAGAGAGCTGGACACCAGAAGAACGTGCTGCGAAGCGGAGGATCGTCCGGTTCTGGGGCGAGCAGAACGGCACTAACCTTAACGCCTACTTCAACCCGGTCAAAGCAGATGGGCAACCTTTGGCACATGAGCCGTATGAAACTTGCATCAGCTGTATCTATTGGGAAGAACGTGACGAGTATTACATTACCAGTGTCGACACCATATTCATACTAGAGTCGCTAGTTGCTACGAAATTTAGCATCGAGGAGAAGAATCGCATTCGTCGCAATCTCGAAGGCTTCAAGCCATGCACTGTATCGAAAGGCAAGCCCGAGAGCGAAAGCTTCTTTAAGCTCATCATGGGGCTCCTCAACCCAAAGCCTCGAGTTATTTCGAAGGATGTGAAGGTGTTCCACTGGCCCATACTTGAGCAGGCTCTGAAAAAGATCATCAGCAAATATGTATGTTCCATTTTCCTGGTCGACAACCCTTAGAATACTGACCTGTATCAGTCTGCAGACCCATCTTCCATCGTCGGTCCCCGTGGAAGACAGTCAAGAAACAACTTCAGCGGACCCCAGTCAGAAGCAGGTGCTGGCCGATACAGCGACCTCTCTTCTCGTTCCATGTCCGGCTCCGCGGTCTCCGGCGCATATGCACCAACACTTAAATCGAGTCCACTCTCGCCACCTTCTGCATCACATGGTCTATCCAGGTACTCACAAGCATCTCCTTTGCAACGACTTTCAGCCCCCAGCCTCTCGCACTCCTACACCGTCCCAACACTAGGCTCGCACTACATGCCTAACGACACCTCCAATTCACCCTACGCCGTTCAAGTCTCTATCCCCGACCATTCATCCGCCTATACTGCCTCCAACCGTCGGCAGCCGCAGATCTAGCTATGCACCCACCGACGACACTCTCGCATTATTGAATCAGCACTCCTGGCTCCCCCACACGCGCACTTCCTTCGCCAGTCCATACGCACCACAAGAATCGAGCGAGGCTAAACCGACTTTGGGCATGCCGGGTGGCGCATCGGAAGATCTGTCTGCCTATCTGAACACCAATGCCGCGTCCTGGGGTAGCATTGGTGATGCGCAATACAGGCGTCAATCCGGCGTGGATGATGAGACCGAGGTGACGCACTTCAAGGAAGAATGACTCGAATGTAGGACGAGGCAGCAATAGATCAGATGATAGATCCGTGCGTTCGGTGATGCTATCATTATCATTTCTGATGGTGTGGTGGAGGTCCCTTGCATCAGCTGGTGCGGTCATCTGAGTTTTCGATTGCGCGCTAACCGCATTTGGCCCACACCTGTTTTTTTTTAAATTCTGCCAGGGAGGACATGCTCCTTTTCACTCGCACTCCTGATTCCATTCTCTACGATCGACTTTTTTAATTCCAACTTCTGATCGAGCGCTTGCAGCGAACATAGATACATACCCTACCTAACTCTTGTATTTGCATAAGCGATTGGTGTTTGAGGAGCCCAGAGCATGGCCATTCATTCCTCATGGCTAGGGGCATTGCTTGCCACGCTTCACTTTTATTTTCTCCGGCCTTTACAGCATCATATACCATAGCATTTACACGGCGCGATAGAATCTCATCCATCACATGATCTACCTCCCCCCGGTTTCATAGGCTCTCTCCTTCATCGCGAAATCAAATGTTTTTGTCCACGCAGATGAGCCCACCGTACGTCGCTCAACGCAGCGGTACCAGCTCTACCGGGTTGGGCTTCGTGCTTGCGACGGTGCATGACAAGCGTTGCCTGCCGCCTAAACTAAAACCTGCGAGGCTACACCGCCTTTGTCCATCCCATCCCTCAATCTTGCGTGTGAAAATAGCAGTCTGCCCTCCCATACCGGGCGCACTCACCCCATACCCCTTTGGGTCAAGCCGGTTTCTCGAGCAAGGGGCACGCTGGTGCGTATCCACTCTCCAACTCTCCGAGATCGCAGTTGCTCGCAACCCTGCCCCATGATCCGGGCCAGTCTCGACAACCGCAGCGCCAGACGACGGAGTGAATTTCCTGCCCGCTGAGGTTCTGAACGCCGTCTACGTACTTACATATTCCATTCCGAGAACGAACCCTGCACGCTCGACATCCGAGCGCAGATGTAGCCGTCACGACACGCGGGCGACCCGGTATGTTGTCGATCGCGGCTCGGGTGCGAAGCTCGCTGGGTGGAATTATCTGGATAGAATGTGGTATGATAACGTCAAGGAGGTGCTGGACAGAGGTAGGTGGAGCATGGACAGTCATCCCTTTCCGTACTCTGCGCTGACTGGCCCCGTCTGCCCGGCTCTGGGTTGGGTATGTTGGCATAGAGATGAGGGCGGATGGTCAAACGGATTGATAACCGGAATCGCTACGGGCGCATGGGCGTCCGTGGTTGTTGGAAGAAGAGAAATTTATCTCTTACGACTACCGCTGTCAGCGACTGACGGGTTGGGTTGGCGATATCGATATGGAGCTGGCTTTTGGGTATGTTGGTGTTGGTGCGACGGTGCTCGGGTCTGATGTCCATCTTTGGGCAGCATGCCGCCTCGTGTCACAAGACTTCATGCAGATGGTTGAAGATATCTTCACAGCACGTCATTTATTGAAAACATCGTTCTTTGTTTCCACCCGAGAGGAGGTGTCAATGCATCCAGGGTAATTCAGCCACAAAAAAACTTGTGGACACTTCGGTAGGTAGCCTAGCAGCCTCCTTTCGGCTCGTGAGGATAGACGACTGAGTATATGACATTCATCTTCCGGGCCTCACCATCAGTCCGGACGGCAGGAATCCTCTCTTTCTTCAAGGAAGACAAGCTACGTACGGATTCACACTCGAATGGCAAGGCTGGTACGTATCCGTGTAGATTGATCTCAGAAGTTAACGGTTGCAGCAATCTAGCAAGGTTCAAAGTGGTGATCTAAGGCATCCTAGACTCCACGAAGACTCGGTGGACATCATTCGGACAAGAGTTTGGAAAACGTTCTATCCAAACATCAACCATACCTCGGGCCCAGGCACCAAAGTTTTGCCACAGGTCGACATGGCAAATTGAGAAGCACGCGGCATCCGCTTGCGTTACTATGATTCTATTATACTACGCCATCAGCTCATTATGGATGAGGGATAGCTGCTGCGTGAGAAGCGCCACTCGGGCAGACTCTATGACAGCCAGCTGGGTACAGAGCGAGAGGAGTATGATTTCGAACTGGTGTGGGTAGGAACCGAACAAGTTATATGCTCAATGTGCGAAACCGTCTCAGGAATGTGCTGAGGAGTCTGGTTGTTGATGCGGAGGACAGGGCGATGGGTGAAGGGAGCGGATGCACGGTTGTTGTCAGATGAAATTCTGGCTGAGCATGATAGATCAATGATCCAACACAGGTGTCAGAGCGAGTGGAAAGTTGGACGGTTCGTAGGGGTATGTACTTGCTCAACACGGCACCAGAACAACACCTGCCGTCCGCACGTCTCTGCACACCGCTTTGTCAACATCTCGATACAGCATCTCCGATGGCAACCCTCTTTCTCCTTGTCACGCCGTGTATCGCTCTAATGGCCCCTCTTATTAGTCCAGCCATCAGCATTTTGGCTGTGCTAGCACTTACTGTCATGCTGAGCGTCGCTTTGACAGCTCTCTTCCTTTGGACATGGAACACGGGAGACCACGATAATAACGAAGCCGTCGCCGACGACGCAACGAACATCGTCCGTGCGACTTTTGCGGCGCTGGCCAGAGATCCAGGAGCGAAGTCTGCGTCTTTCCGCGTGGTGAATGGCGTCGTGGTGCATCGAGATTCTACGGCTGGTGTTCCAAATGGTGGAGACGGACCTGCGAATGGGGTTCGGTCGGAAGAAGTGGGTTCAGGGAGCCAGGATGATTCGGGGACGCACGGACGAGAAATGGAGTCTTGGCCGGAGCTTTTTCACGCTGGGGGCAAAGATTCTACAAGCTCCAACTCCAGGAAGGGAAACGCGGTCGTCGAGGGGCTTGGCGGATTCTGGGTATCGGTTCGGAGCTTAGAGGGTCCGTAAAGGGTTGCGAAGATGGTGTAGAGATTGGACGGAACGCGCGCGACGAACATCGAGGGAGATTGGCAGCTGGTTGGTAGCATTGCAAAGTGTCAAAGCCCGTTTCACTTCAATCAGGCGAGTAATTATCAAGCGTCCTTTACAGTGGTCAGGTAGTATCGATATCGAGGGTTGTTGGCAGAGTTTGCTGGAAGACGATGCCTCCTTAGCGAGCTGGTGATGTATTTATTGTCTCATGCACCCTCTAGCTACCCACGTCAGAACGCGTGCTTGATTATCTCAGAACGGTTGCCAGCCGAATATGACTGCGTTGAGGACCTTCTTTGGGGGGGCTGAGACCTAGCCCATAGCTTGGCAAATTGAAGGTAAATTCTCTTGGCAGAGACATCAAAATGCTGCTTTCTTTACAATGCAACAACTTTTAACTGAGAAGGTTCACGATCAAACTTTGCATGTCGAGATTTTGAATCTTCACAAGAGAAGAAAATGCGATGCCAAAAGTATTTCTGTAAGCCGCTTTGTTATAGAGCTGTGCTGTGTAGAAAGCAACGAGTTTTTGATATTCGGTCCGCAGCCCCTGAAATATACTACCTGCCAAGATGTGGGATAGTTTCGGTATATCTGACTTTGGAGATTCGATGGCCTGCTATCATTTCGTGTCATTGGCTGGCTGGCTAAAGCCAGATGCCGGTTCAACAGTGTCGGTCTGATACAAAGTCCATGGCATTCAGGCAAAGTGCCAGGAACAGTGGCAGTATTAAGCGCGGGATTTTTGTGTTTTAACTTGAACAATGAGTAAGTCGAGAACTATCCGCTGTCTTTGGGTGGGAACAGCTCAGACAGAGTCTTGAGATAAGTGATAGCTTACTCGTCGTCATTAGTATCAACCATTTTCCAATTCGTACCGCATTAAATGCCACTTTCTCTGGCAGCACACCTACATTCGATGTCGCTTGCTATACTCTGATCAGGAAGGGCTTGCTGCTAGTGGTTGCAGCAGCAGCGGCTGGTATAATCCCACCAGGGACTAGGAGCAGATGTGAAACAAGTATCTGATGTGCTCGGCGTGTGTATTAATAAACTCAGAAGATGCAGTGTGACTGGGGAGCACCTAGTCAAAGTACTTTCTCAAGCGGCGAACGCCATTCACCTTTTGTTACTCGTTCACACAGCCCCTGCAGCACGCCTGCAGCCCACTCGAAATCTTTAATCCCGAGATAGATTTGAGCGCTGAGACGCACCCAAACAGCTCCAGCATAGTATTTCCCGGGGATCCACGTGTTGAATTCACACAGCGCACGATCCATTATCCATTTGACGACGTCGGGTCCTTCGGCACATTTCAAGCCGCCTTGACGCTCCGTATTGAATAGTAGAGGTAATCGCACATTGGTGAAGCAGCACTGGCCTAGCGTGTCCTCTGAATTCTGCATGGTTTCCGTGCCAAGAATCTTTGCAAGTGAATGTCCGCCGTCGCGAGCAAGATTGAAGCAATAGTACCTGATCTTGTCCTCGCCACCGCATACGTCTGTGCGAAACTTGATTGCCTCTGGGACGCAGAGATATGGCGTTTGATCGATTGTGGCTGCCCATTTGAATAAATCACCAAAACGGCTGGGGCCTTGGGTAACACTTGACATGCCATCAATATCGTCTTTTGTGTCGACATTGTCTTCCATTTTGGCCTCGAAGCTGTCTGAGGTGGGGATCGTGGAACGTATGAGGTGTTGGTTGCGAAATGGGACATAGAATATGGCGCATGCCCGGGGCGTGTAGAGCCATCTATTGTGGCAAGCGGATACGTCAAACATTGTTTCTTGATCACAAAAAGTGACTTACTTGTAGCAGTTGCTGGTGAAAAAGTCGGGATCCACGCGTGCTAGATGTGTCAAGTCGATGTGACCGATACCGTGAGCGCCGTCAATGAGACTCAAGACATTCAGATCCTGGCAAGCCTTCACGAGTCCCTCCCATGGCAGGCGTACTCCAGGAAAAGTGACCACGGTATCGAACATAGCAATTGTCGCATTTCGCCCTTGCTGCTGCACTCTCTGTATTGCGTTGCGGAGCAGCTGTATCAGCAGGGCGTCGTCAATCGGGAAAGTCACATCAATGCATCTGCATTCAGCTGGCGTAGTTTCGCGCACACATACTGAATGGCTTTTTCGCATGCCCCATAAGCGGTGCAGAAATACAGTATGGTATCGCCTTCAATGAACCTCAAGTTGCGTAAAACTGTATTCACCGCCGTTGTGGCATTTGGCACGAACACAACGTCATCAATGGATGCCCCCAGAAGCGTTGCAGCCCCGATACGGGACCTTTGTAGAAGTTCTGGAATGGTGAATCGTATGTAGGGATCTGATCTAGCCTCAATACGGTCTTGCAACGCTCGCTGATGGTTACGTATGGCTGTGGGAAATGCTCCATAAGATCCATGATTCAGCGGAGTATAGGCTGGATCAAAAAGCAAAGTGCTCGTCTCGCGTCCCTTGGCCAAAGGTAGTAGCTTCCAAGCCCATGTGTGAAGGCATCTTGGCTCTGTATGGACCGTAAGCACAACTGGACTCGATGCTGGTGAATCAGTGCCCTTTGGGGCCAGTATTCTTGATGGTCAGTGCCTTGATAGATCAGAGTATATAAAGGAGGAACAATTACATAAGGGAAACAGAAGCAATGACCCCTAAGGCTGTGATATTGATCGATTCCGAGGCAGGCTCGGGCTCGATGGTGAGACTAGCTCAATTGGGAATGGCTTCCTTAGCGTGGTCGTTACAACTTGCAGCTTCTGTCACATGGACTTATAAATTTGTTTTTTGGCCCATACAACATACGAGTATACTAGATACCAATGGCTCTTGTTCCTTCATGAAGGCCGATCAAACACCGCCAGCAGCAGGCTTGTCGGTCTCCGAATTGAGCCAAATGAACCCTATTGCTTTTGTGCCTTATTTGCCTGGTCCGCATCTTACAAAGGCTGTCAGCCCACGCTAGGTACGCCAATGCTTCGCGGAAACATCTCGAGGACAAAATGCTTCCCTGATAAGCCAGGGCAGAGGTTTTGTCAACCAGGGCATGGATCCACCTTCTGCGGTGGCCTCAGTGGTGGCAGTGCGATCCTTGCAGCCCAAGTCAGCACGGCCTTTGCGGAATTGCGCAACGATACCGCAGAACTTCCGGGGCGACTACATGCCCTAAGTAACGAAGTCGCTGACATCGAGTTTGTTCTCTACCAGGTCGTTGCGGCACGAGACCTGTCGTTTCCTTCTTGCAGCTGGCTCGGATCCGGACTACAAGTGAGCTGCCCTGAATAGAGACTAGTAAAAGGGTTTGAATTACCAAGTCAACCTCCTAGGCCCATTGCTACTGATAACGACTGCCCGGCTGATAAGGCTTGCGACATACTGCTTCGAGGAAACCTCAGTACCAGCGTCATAGAGGTCCTTCGATGCATATTGAGAGACAGTGAGTTTACCATGAACCAAAACTTTGCGCCCATTCATAAGATCGTCCTCTAACTGTCCCTCCAGGACTCCGAGACAGAGATGCAATGCGCCGCACAGCACTGGAGTGGGCAGCCGCCCGCGGAGATGACCGAGCAGTGCTTACACTTCTCAGCTTTGGAGGCAAGCCCAACATCACTGACAACAAATTGAATACGCCCTTGACTCTTGCTTCCAATCAGGACAACACGCTATGCGTTCAACTTTTGCTCGAGGCCGGCGCTCTTGCAAATCCGGTTCTCCCTTTAGGCGTAAAACTTAGCAGCCCATTAAATTGTGCTGCACGGTATGCAACTGATCCCCTGCTCTTGAAGACGCTGTTCGACTTCGACGCTGACGTAGAGGCCAGTAGCGTCGACGGCGTTGCGCCACTATTGCATGTGGCCCGCGGAAAACCTGTCAGCTTTGCAGAGCTGCTATTGGACTACGGAGCAGATATCAACGCAACTTCCAAAAACGGGCTGACATCTTTGACGGCTGCGATCATTTTCAACAACCATAGCGTTCTCCGCTTGCTGCTCGATCGATGGTTTGAATACACAGAATGTCCCAGGCTCAAAGGCCATCATCTTCTCGACTTCGTTATAGATTATGCAGACATCGAGACTATGTCGATACTAACTACTGCTACGCATCTTCAACAGCTATGTGCCAGAAAAGTCCGCCGCCCAACTCCGTAAGCGGCTCGATCTGACCGATGACAGTGTACTTGCATTCGAGAGTCTGCTCGATGCAATCCGCGATTATCCCAAGCTCTCCAAGTACCGTGAGAGCCTTGCAAATTCAGGAGCGCTGGACTTGGAGAAAGACCCGGAATCCAATGGAGAAGACACAGATGACTATGAAGATGCGCGTGGAAGTTTGAGCATCGTTTCAAATGACTTGAGCACGCTGGCCAGGCAACCTCCGAGGCCAGCAGTGGTAGTGTCTGCCGCAGAAGAACAATGAAACCGCTGATCGACGTGCACAAACTGTCTTTCAGACCTTTTTGGAAGGTCTGGTGGCAACGAAGAGCTGATCCCGAATCATATCCTTGATGCAGAGGACTTTGTTGACGGAATTCTCTCCCCCATTTTAAACAGATGGTCAATTCCTACTATACTATGGGAGAATTGGTCTAATGATACAGTGAATACAAGGGATGCGAGGCCTTGTGCATGAAGATCTGCACTATCTCCATGTGGTTTAGCTTACTTGTTGGCGTCTCCGTTAGAGTACCGATTCTTTTCTCTCCATTCTTTTCTGCCTCTTTGTGCTATCCCTCATTCTTCAAAGTAAACACTCATTGCTATCAGCGAGTATGGAAGATGTTCGAATTGATTTGCCGTGCAGTCTGACGCTCCTCTGCAATGACCGCAAGAACTACGCGTAGTGGTTTAAATTGCGCCTGTCGCACCTCTCCAGAAAGTCCTTGTTTTTAAGGTGTGATTTGTGTGACCGGATATGGACGTGGCTCACATCTCCTCAGGATGCCCGAGCTTGATCGATCAGATATCAGTATGTTCTTTCCAAATGGCGAAGGCATACTTTTCTGTTCACATACGCTCCTGAGTTCGACTCTCACGACACAAGCAAGCTGAAGGCCGATTTGCGCCCTAGCAATGTTGATCGCGAGCTGCGGAAAGCTTACACTGCATTCTCGTCTTCACGAGACGATGGATGGGGTTTCGACATGGCAGTAACGGATCTTTGGGAATGCAGCTGTTTTGGTGAAAATTGACAGGAATTAGAGGTTAGTATTGGCATGGAGGATCCAGTTCCAAATTTTTGCAATATTTTAAAAAAAAACCAAAAAAAAAAAAAAAAAAAAAAAAAACAAAAAAAAAATTTAGAAAAAAAAAAAAAAAAAAAAAAAAAAAAAAAAAAAAAAAAAAAAAGAAAAAAAAAAAAAAAAAAAAAAAAAAAAACAGTGAATGGGAAAATGAAGCGGAAAACAACAACAAAATCAACGATTCCGATTTGACCTTTCTTGACAACGTGCATCGTTGTTGGGATTCAACGACGGACTATTTCGTGCAACTCCAGGAGGCACATCACTTGCACTACCTTGATCTGATGGCGTCCCACATCTCCCATGCTGTCAATTATTGGGGCGACGCATGGCAACAGCTCAAACAAGGAAAAGCTCGCGACAACTATGGCCTCAGGGCTCTGGAAGCGGAAGGCGCTCACCTATATTTTGACTACTTACCTCTGATCGTCGAGGACATGCGGAGAAAAGGGTTTGAGGGACCCGAGAAGCTTGTGCATGAGGCATGGTTCACCCTCATGTTCCGTGCTTTTTGTTGGTGGAGGTGTCATTCTTTACATCCAGGGGAAGATCCAAGCTACAAGGGCTCGACACTTCCTTCGCGTTACTGGGACAGCAAGTTGCCCGTGTACATCGTCTAGGCAAAGGAGACACCCTATCGATGGAATAGATCGACTCCCGACCTAGATTCACCCGTGCAGGATCGCCCTGATCCATTTCAAGGATCCGGCGAGAACGCAATGGTCGTGGAACGAGTCTCAAGAGCGCCGAAATTTCTCCATAGAATGTTGGCAAGTATGAAGTCCTGGACGGTATGAATAGAATGAAGGAAATTAGTTGTTCGTATGTGGCCAGAGAACCTGGTTTGGCGTTTGGATCCTTTGATTACAGTAGTCACTCTGATCGTGGATCCTACTTGTATGCAAACATAATGAATGATCCCTCTCTTCTACCAGACCGCATTCTCTCCAAACCATAGGTCACAGTAAGTACTTGATGGCTCTTGCCCACCTGCTATGTCGTTCCCAACCCCTTAATGGATTCCTCATAAGTGCAGACTCTCTTCTCTTCTCCTTCCATAAGGTGGGTTTTCTATCCAAACATGCGTGACTTCATATATCGTTACAACTTCCCCGTCTTAACCCAAGGGGCCCAACACCACAGTCGTCTCCAGATCGCCTCGCCTCCGACGCTTGAGTCTTGGCGTTATGGGCGATCGTCACGTGAATATCACGCTAGTCTGTAATCTCTTGCCAAGAGTTGCGCACGGTCCCTCGGATAGAAAAGTACCTTGGGTAACTGGAGTTGGAAAGAACCTCCACCTTCGCGAAGCAAGTCACGACGATGAGGTTCACAATCATTACCTCTTTCCTTTGCCTAATAAATCTCAAAGTATGGGCGCACCCTGCGGAAGACGCAGCTCCAGGAACAATGCCGGCAGAGCCCCCTACACCCATTGAAACCAGCATCCCCAACCGCAGCTACCTCCTCAAACTCGACTGCATCTCCTGCCCCTTCCTCATCCGCCCCTCCAACCGCAACCAATGGGAAAAAGACCCGCGCCCTAACCAATTGACCCTAGCGCTCTACATTGATGGTCCCCACCCTCCGCCTCTACCTCCAAGGTGAAACCCTCAACCCACTTTATTACGAGCGCCGGGCGCCCTCGTTCTACAGCCAACCGCATCCCTTCGCCCCGCCCTTCACTGCGAATCAGATTGGTGTGAATGAGACGTTAGAGCAGGAAGAGAATAACAATGGATGGGGGATTCCTGTACGGCAGTTCGAGTTGGCGTATGAATTTGATGTGGTGACCTATGCGCCGAAGGATAAGGTACGGGAGTGGGAGGTTCTCATCGAATTTCAGATTACGGGGTTGAGGCATGAGGAGCATGTGCCGAAGGATATCCCTTTCTCAGGTGGCGTGTCTTATCCGGAGACGGAGGGCGTGGTGCCGGGTGTGACTAGCGTTGTTAGGCTGGTGCTGGGGTATACAGCATTCGAGGAGATAAGGATCGATGCTTTGGAGCTGATGCCGAAGGAAACGATGGCTAAAGTCGCGGGCAAACAGATCGAAGTACTGCGCAAGGCGGCGGAATCGAAGGGGGAGAAGAGTATCACAACTGCAAATTGGGGCGGAAGGCTGCGCGATATCAACGGTCCAGACGGCAAGGACATATATACCGAGCATGCCTCGTTCAAGCCGGGGGAGTGGAATGACTGCGGTAGGAAGGATGAGTGGGGGAGGCAGATCATGTGCAAGGTGGACGACTTCAAGGCGTGGTCACCAATGATATTCGTGATATCACTAATGTTGCTGGCGGTCGTATTGATCGGGATATTTGTTTTGGTTGTGTTTATGGCCTGGCTCGCAATCCGCTTCCTGGGAGGCCAGAAGATTCAGGAGGTGGTCACGGCTAAGGGCGAGAATGATGCTTTGCTGCTCTTTGGGGATGAAGAGCTTTGAGGATCAAGAAGAGAAGACGAAGGAAGAGGTTATGGCGACTCAACCAAGCTGTCCGTTCGGATGAACGGAAGGACAGCCAGCAATTTGGTCCCTATCAGCATAACAGCGACAGCAACTTATAAGTGCACCAACGCCAAGTACCGGATGGCATTGCGATAAAGGTATAAGAACTTGAAGCAATGACTTTGAACTTTATGACGGATGCCTTTTCGAGCCCACTAGGCGGTCGTCATAAGGACGCGTTGAAGGCGATTTTTCGGGGACTGTCAACACTTCAGCGCGCCACACACTCAGTAAAAGAAATAGCTGCGCCTCCTCCAGGGCCCCCTTCATACCCCACTTAACTCAAAACCACACCTTCATCTGGTTACTATCGTCTGCATCTAGCCAATTAGTCCGTCTTGCTGTTCGAACTGCGGAAAGCTTCATTTGCTAGTACTTCGACCTTGCCCATAAGATTCCGCCAAGTCGATCCTAAGGTGAGATCTGCGTAATGCATCGTCATCCTCTAGGTTTACTGATAGAATCAAAAGAAATCAAGATGCCAAATATCCGAGCCTATTTTGGCTCTATCGTCATCCGCGAGATCTGTTTGGTTTTCCCGACAATCGACATTGACAATGCCTATCCCATGACTGTTGCAACGATTTTTGGCACTATGTGCATCATCCTCTCGCTTTTCGGACAGGGCGGGGTGTCAACATACTATGCAAGGGATACTCGTCCTGCGCGTCGTTGTTAGGTTGGGAATCTTGCCACAGTGGACGTCAACGTGGGTGGTTGTGGCGCTGGAGATCACTGTGCAAGCAAAGAGGAGAGGAACGAGATATAAAGATGATGCTGGCGTGAATACGCTAGGAGATGTTCAGGAGGGTGCTTAAGGGTCGTGTTCCCAAAATGAAGCCTTCGGCTCAACTTGAGTGCAATTAATAAACACATCGAAGACCCAAAGAAACACCTTGCACAAGGCAATTTGCCAATAAAGTGGTACCTCTTCGGCGTGCCTTTCCGCCCCGCCTGCAATGCGATCTTTACGCTCTTACCTTCCCAACATTTCGACTGCTGAACGCTCATGGGTGTTGGACATCATCTTTCAGATTGCTGTTGCGCTCAGCTTGGGCGTGCACTCAGCGTAGGATTGGCCATCTTTGTCTCTGTCTGTTGAAATGTCTCAGCTTGGTCGCACATGTATCTGTTGTTAGCCGTTTGTTATAGCCCTTGTCACATTTTCCGGTCTTTTCGAATTCTTCTACAATGAATTCTGCCTTTTGCTTAGCCTATCGGGCTAGCTTGAAAACAATGGTCGGTTGTTACAATGGTCGATTGATTCAATGATTTCGGTTACACAATGACTTGTATCCGCCTTTTGCTTGAAGTATCAATACACTGCCTTTGTCGTACACTAACTGGCTTTGTCTCTAGAGAAAGCACGCGACAATGTATGTTCATGACACTTCGCTCGTTGCCCATATATACCCTGTCCCTGCTCCAACTTTTTTCATTCTCCATCATCCACTCACACACTCATCCTCGAACTTCAACAGCAGTCTTCGCTTTCCAAAGCTTCCTTCATCACACAACGCCCATCAACACAATCAACATACCTTTCTCCACCATCAACATGCCACGCCCAAGCGTAAGCACCAACCCAACGAGTCGCGCGATGACTAGACGCGGCTCTGTGATGGTTTCTGAGGTGTCGAACCAAGTAAGCTCCCTTGGTCCTCGTTCCCGTGGCACTAACGGCTGCAGCTACACCGTCCAGAGCTCCACAACGACCACTGTCCGTGACCGTCTTGGCAGCTCGACGCTTCATCGGGAAAACTACTCTCACTATGAAAGCGGTTCACTCTCACTATCCCATCTGTCCATATTGTGGCGACTACGCTCACCATGCGAGCGGCTCATCTCTCGGCTACGGGGACCATCGTGCGACGCGAGCATTGGGTTACGACTCAGACTCCTCAGACGAAGGCCATGTGACTGAGGAGGTCTATGTTCCTCTCGGTAGATTGACTCTTGGAGAATCTACCAGTTCTCGCACTGGAGGATCGCACAGCTCTCGACACAGCTCTCGACCCACCGAGTCTCGATCCACCGCTCGACCCACCGATTCTCGCCACACTTCCCGGCCCACCGAGTCTAGATCCACCTTCCCGACACACCGTCTCGACCCACCGAGTCCCGACACACCAGCTCTCGACCCAGCGAGTCTCGACACACCAGCTCTCGACCCACCGAGTCCCGACACACCAGCTCTCGACCCAGCGAGTCCCGACACACCAGCTCTCGACCCACCGAGTCTCGACACACCAGCTCCAGACATCCCAGCTCCCGACAATCCACCGCCCCAGGTACATCCGGGGAGCTCACTGTATACGGAGAGCGTTCATCCCATGCGCCCTCGGTCAGCCGACACACCAGCTCCAGACATCCCAGCTCCCGACAATCCACCGCCCCAGGTGCATCCGGGGAGCTCACTGTATATGGAGAGCGTCCATCCCATGCGCCCTCGGTCAGCCGACACACCAGCTCCAGACATCCCAGCTCCCGACAATCCACCGCCCCAGGTGCATCCGGGGAGCTCACTGTATATGGAGAGCGTCCATCCCATGCGCCCTCGGTCAGCCGCTACACGACCGACGACCGTGAGACGGGATCGAGTAGACGCAACTCTGGCGCTCATGGCGGCAGGGAAGTGGCTCGTCGCCACTGATCTGTGACATCGCGGGCGAAGTTGGGCAGGGGATAGAGATGTTCGGAAGGAAAGTGTTGCAACAAGCTCGGGGATAGAGATGTTCGGAAGGAAAGTGTTGCAACGGAGCTTGTTTTTGTAAGGTAGAGTTAATACTTAATATGCGAAATCTTTGCTCACTGCGCGGATCGAACTTGCGAACAAATTTGGCTATCAAATGCATGAAGTTCTTCTCTAGCCATTGGAAATGGGACTGACTTGCATTTTCTGATAGAAACAGATAATGCAAGGTCATATTCCCTTTTCCTTTTCATTATCCAACCAATGCTCAAACTCTTGCTCCACGATTTACTTACCATTGATCAGACTGTTTCAATGCCGCGGGTTGATAGATGCATCTATTTAGCAAACAAACATCTGTCTTTGTCCTTTTCAAAGGACAAAGCTTACAGATATCCTTTCTAGCTGCATGTTCCCTGCTGCTGATTCTGGGACATGCTATCATATATCAGAAATTCAGTGTGTCAGCTACAGAGTTCATTATCCTTATGTTTGCCAATGGTACATGCTCTATTGTGTTGGAGGTCCGGGCTCTAAATATAGTATTCCTTGTGGTACATACAGCAAACACTACTGGCTCATTGTCTAGACAGTCAATATAAATTCTGTGATATCTTCGAGGCACAGAAAGATTATACTAGATTTCTGTATAAATGCTCAGCTCCTTTCCTTCAGTGCCTTCTTCCCACATCCTCCACATACATCTCTGGGCCTCACCGCCGACTTTGAACCTGGGATAGTCTTTGAATCCTCCAACTCCGCATCATACCTCACTAAACCTCTTACGGACTCCTTACGTATCTTACAGCCAGCATCCAAACTCCAACTCCATACCTTCTTCAACTCACAGCATGACTCGCACTCGTGCCGGACGCGACTTCCACGGCCTGACTGAGGCCAACTATCGTGAATTTGAATTAGCATACTACAAATACCACCCGCAATCGCGCTCTGTCTCGTTTGAGAGATATCTAGATAACGGCACACATGTGAGGGAAATAGAAGAGGCCGTGGTGAACAACTCTCATGGAAACAGGTCGCGCCAATGTTGTGGTTACGGTGCTCGTGGACATGGCCACCGCTCGCATCGCTTTGGGTCCGCTGATCGGAGGGGATCGCGTGTGCCTCTTTCTACATCTCGCTGCGGTCCAGCCGACGACTTCGACCGTGGTGAGTTCAGGGATGTTCCACGTGATGGCCGACGTGGAGCTGGAGGGTCTCTCGATCGTGCAGGACACCCACTTCCTCGTGGTCATTGTAGGGTGCCGTCACCACCTCCCTCCCGCTGTGGTGGAGAGTCCTCGCGCCCACGGCAACATCCTCAGTCCCAGTGGAACCGTCACCCCGCTTCAGATGGCTACTCCGGCGAACACTGGGGTTGCTATGGTCCTCAGGATGGACGTTGTGAGCGGGATGGTAGTTGTCGGTAGGCATAGACGATGATGTATAAGCAATGCGGAGAAAAGCGATGGAAGTTGGAACAGACTGCTGGCTGGGATAGGGATGTTGTATCTACTGTGGGGGAAGTCCCCAAAGAATTACTAGAGCATCAGGAAACGAGCTTTGATTTTACGAGATGACATTGCGTTCCGGGAAGGAGCATCTAGATAAACTGTTCCCGGGAGTAAAGTGGTACTTTGGTTGAACTTCCTTTTTGTCGCTAAATACATCTTAACACCCTTAGGCTAAGGTTTCGGCTTCTAGTACATTGTCAGTCGATCAATGTACATTTGTATGCTTCAAGAACAGAGCCTCCCTTGATGCATGTTTTTTGCCGCAAGCAAATGCCCAATCAACACAGACAAATTGCCGACCGAACAACACGTAATGTAGTTGGATTCCTAGTGGTATACAGACAGTCTGGACAAAGAGGGTCCGAAACCGCTCTAGCGAGACTGGCTCTACTCCTTTCCGCTCATATCCTTGCGGGGCCATTCGCTGATGATAGTAACACGGTCGTTCAACGAATGTTCACATCTAAACACTCCATTAACACAAGTTCCGCTGCGGATTCATTACACTTCGTAACACTCGCCACAGAGTCTCAACACTTAGCAACATTCCCCACAGGAGTTCTTACCCGTATAAACCGCTGGTTCTCTCCAACCTTTTTCCTCTTATAATTGACAACCTTTGAACTTCGACCTGCAACGATTCAACATTTTCAGCCACAGGTACAACACCTGCTTCCAACACATCCACTCAGCCCTGGTGTTTGACACTCCCCAAACACATCTGCTACTACATCTTCCTTCATTTGCTCCCTCCCATCACCAACTCATAGGTAACGCTCAGTACTTAGGATTCCTCGAGCGCCTAACCCGTAACCAACCTTCACTACCAGATTCCTTCCTCGATCGTCAATATGCCAGGCCAACGTGTCGATCAGATGGTCAGCGACATGACTGATGAAGAGTACCGCGCGGCTGAAGAGAACTACGAAAACTACCACCCCCAGGCTGACTTGATGAAGTTTCGAAGAGCGTATGGAGCAACACAAATACGGAGAAGAGCTGTATGAAGACCGGGCACAAGGGCGTGATAGTGATGTTCGTGCTCGTAGAGCTGATTACGCTTCCAATCCGCCTGGGCGTTCCAACTATGGTGGGTCTCGGATGTCTCGTTCACGTGGGGAGCGTCTGCCATGCGTTATCCATGCGAAAACTCACCGCAACACAGTCGCCGCGCAGGCGAGCACAATGATGACACTTGGCAATCATATTGCCATCGTTGTCGAACACGGCGTTAGCGGGGAGCGTGCTGGAAAGCGCGCCGGGCACAACGGCAACAGATATTCTCATTCAGAGCCGGTAGGGGCCCAGCGCTTCGGAGAGCCATCGTCACGAATTGAGGCTGCCAACGCGTAAGGAACTGTGCGTAACTCGGGGCCTTTGGAAAACTTACACAGCAGCCATGATAGCAAGGGAGATGTGCGCGAGATGCGTGCGTTAATGCTACGTTTTGTACGCGTTGGTGGTGGTAACGTAAGATGCTAAGAGTGGTGAAAGGAGAGTTGATAAAACAGAAAACTTTTCAGGGGAAAAGTAAACATCATCATAGTCGCACGTCAACCACACGCGTCACGCATCCAAATCAGAACTATGCGAGCGGTCCCTCCTACGATCATGGCGATCGTCGTGGCACCGGTAGAGGAGGGTATGAATATGAGGCTTCCTCTGAAGGCGAGTCACTGGTCGGAGATTCTCACGGCCTAAGGCATAGACATACGGGATATTCGACTATGGGCCCTGCGGAGTCTAGAAGACGTGATTTGGCTAGCAATCTCCTGCTATATCTCTTTAAGCTCTTTTAGTATCTGTTGTGGAATAGTCTTGCCCTCCTGTAGCAGCTTGTTGATCGCTTTGGTAATTCCGCCTTTTTTTCGGCAAGCACCTGCCTGCTAAGCTCGGAGATCATCGTGAGGTTCGAGTGATGTAAGTCGGAAGGGGAAATGTTTGTTCAACCGTGTAGTGGGTGGTTCGTGAGGGGGTAAATTGGGGTGTCGCATGAGTGCGATATGGGTGTTTAGCGATGTTAAGTCATTGTAGGGCGTCCAGGGTGTGATGGCCTGGTTGCTGAGCATCATGCTGGACTTTACCCCATGCGCCTCGTCGACCAAAACCCGACCGAAGATGCTGGGGAAAATTGACCTAGTCCTGGTTGAGCTCATCCTCCGTGAGTTGCTTTTCGTTGCCGTTTCCCGTCTCATCTTCATCGTCACTGTCAGCCTCGGCCGACGCTACATCTCGTGGGCTCGCTGGTCGATGCCCTTGGTGCCGTGACCCAAACCAGTACCGGACACCCATACATAGAAACTAATCCGCGATTTCAGCCTTTCAGACAGGTCTGGCGTTGATGGGAAAGACCATGAAATATGACTCGTAGGTACGGCCGCGGAGTTTGTCCAGTGCTCTGGGTGCAACGGAGTTTGGAGCCGACTCGTCAGGGTTAGCGTCAACGTCCATCGCGTTGGAGTCATTGATCAGGAAGGGTTCGGCAACGGCAGTAGCGCCAGCCGCATAAGGGTCGTTCACAGCTTGGGCGGTTTTCCCAACAGGCGGCCTGGGTATGAAACAACAGCACCGCGCAGGATTCTGGGATCTTCTTAGAACTCCCACATTGCTACTTCTGTGCTCCCTTGACTGTGGCATCGTTGTCCACACCCGAGCCTCATTCCCGTCCGTCTCTTTCTTACCTTTATATATATGAGAGGCATCAGACAGTAAAATCGAGAATGTGATCGAGGATACTCATATCCCTCGTATCCTTCCAGCAAGTGTGAAGGCCATGAAGGCATTGATCATTCCACCAGTCATGCCAACGGATGCGGCACGGACAGTCGTCATTCTCATCTTGTGGTCGCAGCACGGTCGGCTGTAGGTCTTGAGCCTGCGATTGGAGAGCCAGGACTTCGCTTCCAGAAGCTCCTAGCTGGAAGAGGCGGTGCCCTAGCTGCTCGCACAGCCAGTCCTTTTTTGGGCATTTGTGGTCTCTAATGAAGCGTAGTAGACACAAGGCCCTGCAAAGGGTCAGTCTCAGAGGATGAATTGCCTAATAGGCCACTCACCGGCTACTTCTAGCTGCCGCTAGATACATCGTGTCGGTTTGCGAACGCTTGTGCCAGCGCCTCCCACAACCAAGCGGCCAGCTCCCCCTCGGGGAGTTGCTCGAGTATGACGCTTGCTCAAAGGGGGATCTGTCGTCATGAGGCAGAAAGGCCGTATGGAGGGTGAGCTGCGACCGCAGTGAGAGATCGCTGTGGTCATCCGACTAGTTTGGTGCGGCAGACTGAAGCTTTGGTACGTGAGCGTTGCCGTGGAGGACATCAGCGTTAGTGTGGTCGTGATGAGTCTGAGTTTGAGGAAAGGGTAGGTCCTCCGGTCAGTTTGAGTGAAAAGAAACAAGGTACGTTGTCGTCGTGTGACCACCACGTGGCGCACTCGGTTGATCTCGTTCGATCATCTGTCGAGGCAGCGGGAGTAGATCCGCCAGAAGCAGCAAGGCATGACGCATGCCCTATCTCCACGCAGACATGGCCAGCCAGACTCCATAGACGCAAATCCCATTGTCACTGTATCTGCCCCCCAATCCGACTTTCTCCAGCTGCGATTGATCAGTTAGTTAGTCATCAGCAGAATCATTAGATAGCGGAAAAGACTTACCCGTTCCTTGGCGAAATATGCGGTATCAAGTTCCGTCCGTCTGACATGAGTCTTGCGGACGACGTTTGAATGAGCAGTCATCTCCGCCCATGCTCCGATGAAGATTTCGAGCTGAATAAGTTGCCTGACAGCATCGATGCCCGAATCTACGAAGAGTCAGAAGTCGCGACGCAAGAAAAGTGAAGAAAGAAAGATGAGCACGACTTACCTCGTTGAAGGCTTTGGGTTGCGACATCGTGAGATCGTTGTACTTGAAGTGCAGTGTCAACGTGGCAATGGTCTCTTGTTGAAGTGCTTCATTCCTGGGTTCCATAACCGTAGGTCGTACGCTGTACTTGAGACCATTGTCATGAATCCGCTAAACTTACCCAAACCTAGCTTTGAAGATAGATAATCCACATACTCCTGATCATAGGTCGTCACCATAAGGAAGGCCTGATGACCCTCCATCGACGATTGATTCAGACGAAAAACGCCAGGAGATGAGTGCGTGTGAGGATGGGAAGAACTGGTGATGAGTTCGTTGTGAAGAGGGGCCCGGTTAGGGCGCCAAGGATGCCGAAGGCGGGTACGGGGACGATGAAGGTGTTCGTGTAGGAGAGAAGCCAGAAAATTTGGGCGAAGGGGATTATAGATTTGAGTGCACCGGGCTGGTGATTTTCTGGAAACGATTGAAGAAAGGCTGATATTGCTTGTTTTGGCGTAAGAATTTGACGCGATCTGGTGGACTAAGTCAACGTGTGCTATTTCTCATAAGAAGAAACGAATTTTTTCCAAGAATCGCTTGACGAAGAAAGAAGAGAATCTTGGCTCGGACTGCCGTCTTCTTTTTGGATGACTTGTCTACCAATTGCACTGTGACTCAAACTTTCTCAAGTCTCTGCTTTTCAAACTCTTCCTCTATACATGACTTTTGATATACTCTCTTACTTTCGAGTCATCTGCCAAAGTGTAAAGCCCTTGAGATCTGGAATTCATACCTTAGTATGTACATAGATAGTAGAGGAGATCTACTATCACTTATGTGTGTCAAAGAGACCGCAATCAGCTGCATCTGATCTGCATGGATGGCCAAAGGCAGCTGGTGTCAAATGCAGAGAGAAAAAACCGATATTGTTCAGAGAGGTATACGAGGTAGATTGAAATGTGTAAAGCGAAAGCGTGCTGAGTACAGGTAGGTAGGATAATATGATTTTGATGGAATTATGTGGTGGACCTGCGATAGGATTATGTTGTAGAAAGAAGAGATAGTTGGGAGGTTTGGGGGGTCAAATATCCAAAGATGCCTCCCGAAGAATCCTCGTCGGAGAAGTGATGGGCCTTGGGGCACTCATTCCATCTAAATTCGCCGATTTGCTTCCCGTTCGATAGAAATAAATGTCCAGCTTCACGCGGTCTTCATTACTTTTAGAGGAGCCCCGATTGAGAAACAATCACCAGGACTTGCTTTCAGTTTCATTCCACTCTCTCCGTTCTAACCCCAATGAGGCCTAAGAATCACAGTTTCGACTTCCTCGTGACAGTCGACTTACGGCTCCAGCTGCATTCATCGGCACTCAGTCACACTTCACCTTCATTCACCAGTTCCAATATCCTCTTTTCGTCCTCTTGAGGCCTCCACCGTCTGTGCTCCCTGCCATTTTATCCAACGCCTCATCATCAACGCGCATCCCTACCCATCCATCCATCTGCTGAGCCCCAATACTCTTATAGAATTTTATACTTGGCTCATTCCACTTCAGCACACTCCACTCCAACCTTTCCCCTCCAATATTTTTCGTTTCCTTCGCCAGCTCCTGCAACAGCCTCTTCCCATAGCCCCTCCCTCTATATTCAGGCCTCACGAACAGATCTTCTAGATAGATGCCAGGAGCGCCACGCCAGGTGGAATAGTTGGTAAAGTAGAGGGCCATGCCCGCGCATTGTGGGGAGGGAAGATGGGAAGCCGTTGAGGGAGGGTCGGGGGCGAAGAGAACCAGGGTTTTGGCGTAGCCCGAGGAAGGGTTTGAGGGGAAGGAGAGGGTTTTGAGGAGAGACGCCTCGGTAGCGAGGACGGAGGAGGATGCTTTCTCGTAGGCGGCGAGTTCGTGGATTAACGAGAGGATCAAAGGCACATCTAGAGAGGGATTAGATGGATGTTGCAGGCAGGGAGCAAGGACAGCTTACCTTCTTCGGTTGCGAAGCGTATGGCTGGCTCGGAGTTGCCACTCGAGACGGACATGATGCTAAATACTCGAAACCTATTTCAGATAATGGTATAGAGTGAGCTGGAAGGATCGTTTGTATATTGAAAACGACGTCGCAAATGACAGCGATGTCGGTCCAGTGGGTCCATGCCCGCTTGGGCTAGTACTCCTTCTGCATCCTCAGTCTGCGTCCCCGCGGCATCTTGCGGCGTACAACCATCCATGGAGAAAGCCTCGTCGCAAAGGACGAGCCATATAGCAACGATGGTGCTGAAGCGAGGGAAGAGATGGGATGATACTAGCAGAAAGCAGAGTCCGAGCGGAATGCTTGGCATAAGCAAGGACAAAAAAAGCCCAAAACCCAAAAAAAAATATTTTAAAAAAAAAAAAAAAAAAAAAATTTTTTAAAAAATTTTTTTTTCCCCCCCCTTTTTTTTTTTTTTTTTTAAAAAAAAATATAAAAAAAAAATTTTTTTCTTGTATCAGTCGACTTTATATTTTTGAAGAACGTCATAGAGAAGGTGGAGGATTTTGATTGATATTGCGTAGTATTTCATTGTAACTACTCTGTTATCTCCATAGTTAAATGCTCCAAATCTCGTTCAAATGTCTTAATTTCGCAGTTAAATATGTAGCCTGCAGTGCTCTGCTTAAAATGCTTTATCGCAAATCTATCACAGCCATTAACATCGATTGTATACTTCAGAAATCCTTTAAAATCGTTCTGAAAGATGTTACGGTACGTCACTTTGAGGATCGTCCTTTCCTTTTTTTTTTTTTTTTTAAAGTCGGAGGCGGAGCTGAATCAGCTTTGTCAAGCATTCTTATTTAATTTGCAATTTCATAATATAGCTGTTGCCCGCGCAGTATAAGAAGAGTTAAACCGTGATTTGACCGCTTTGATCCTTCAGCAGATTCCGCCTTTTGTACGCCGTCGTATTAGAATACCAGTACGCTGCAGTCGTGAATTAGTAAGATTTCGAAGGGCCCCCCCCCAAAAAAAAAATTAAAAAAAAAAAAAAAAAATAAAAAAATTTCTAGTAGGCTTGCATAATGCATACTTACCTCGAAATCTGAATTCTCTTAAAAGAGAAAAAGAAAAAAACTCACCTCAATTCGTTCTAGACATGATGTCCCTGCAGCTAAGAATCGAAGAGTCTGGTAAGCAATGGTACAGTATGTAGTTATTAGGTGGGGCGCACAGCCTCGGAGCTGAAAAGACAGCGGCGGCTCCTTCGCCTTGGCGTGTTTCACTGCCTACCTTCGAGTAGAAGCCTCAAGGATGTCAACGGATCGTCGAAAACCAAGGAAAACAGATAAATGCATGCTGCACTTTGACATTCTTTTGAAGAACATGTTCCTGCCCCCACTCCTTTCTCTCATTGTCTAGCGCGACTTCCATCTGTTGGATAGTCTATAATCGTTATCATCCGCGTCTAAAGCAATACTCTGCATCAAAAATTCAGCTATAGAAATGCGACGCTCCTTGAAAATATTGTTCTTGCTCCTTGCTGGTACCCTCCTTATCAAACAAGTCCGAGCTCCTGCTCCCCATCCAGAAGACACAGATTCAGATTCGGATTCAGAGCCACAACCGGTCCCAAACACAAACGATGATGACAACTCAGGCTCAAGCTCCGGTGAAGGCGAAGACTTGGGTCACGTTGGCGGTATAACGTTGAGCGGTGGAACTCCAGCCGCACCCGTCGCCCCTCCTTCTGAGGGCAATGAGGCGGAATTCGAAGAAGAAGACGTCGACTACAGCGAAATCCTAGAGCACGTATCCGAGCTCCTCGACGCCATCACTTCCATCATCTCCGACATAGACAGCGGCTCCTCAACAACGGTATCAGCACCTCTACCCACTGCAGCATTACCTTGCTACAGCGTCTCAAGTATCTATAATGAGTGCGCCCTACGCAACAGCGAATTCCCGCATCTGGTTTTCCCCATACAGGCGAGTTGCTTGTGCTATGTAACTAAGGGCAACGATACCACAGCCATCTGGGCGCCTGACTCCTACGACGGGCATATGAGCCGCTGTAACAATTTCGCTCAGACACAGAGTCAGGCTTCAATTACGAATGTGGGTAATAACAGCAGCGCTTTCAATTTGTGTTCGAGCGCTGGTGATGTCAGAGCAACCCCGGCACTAGCCGTGGCGAGTTCGACGACTACGCCTTCGGCTACCCCGGCCTCGACTACCACTGCACCCAGTACACCTACTGCCACAGGCACAAGTGGTTCAGCAAAGCGAGTGTCTGTGTTGAGGTCCCTGGTTGTGTGCATGGGACTGTGGCTTTGTAGAATGGTGATATGATGATTAGACGAAATCTCGTTTCTTCTAAAAGGGGAATCTTATGAGATGGTCGTAGAGCACAAATATCCATAGCAAGGCGGGTGGGAAATTTTGAAAAGCTGTCGAGACTCGTCTCAAGCCTACTGACTAAGCTCGCGCATGTCTAATCATCACGCCATTCTTAACCCAGCAACTCTTTGTCAAATCATACCTCTCCGTTGACCAGCGCTTATCCCACGCACCAATCCATCCTTGAATACACTCACAGGATAACGCAACACACAAAAGTTGAGAAGCTCGAAAATTGCAACCTAAATCACACTAAAACGAAGGTTTGCAAGACACTGAATGCCTCGATGGGGAGCCCGGCAGTTATAAGCAAGCAGAGAGCGTGGCACGCCCGCTTTCCCGTGTAAGAGTTTGGTCGAGACTACTTTGTTCTTCCACCCTTCTCAAGGTCTACTCGAGCATCTCAACATGCGGCTTCGGTAGAAGAAAAAGAATCGCACCCAGCCGTTCAAACGCCACGTGCCTACCTCGAGTTGAGAATGAAGACCACAGATGCTCGATTACAGACGTGTTACAAACATCCCGAGTCACGCTTCAGCGTCTTCAAAACGACGCTCACCCTAGACCTGCCCGATAGGGCATGAGATCGGGGGCTCGGGGCACATTTGTTGCGTCTTAGCGTTTTCGCCTCGAGATCACCCTTCTGTTCCAGCGTCCATATGGTATTCTCACCTTCATGAATTTTCTTGTTCAACGAGATATACATTGAAAGGCTAGTACATTCTCTTAGCAGAACATCAAAATATTGCTCTCTTTGTACTGCAACAACGTTTGACTGACCATGATTGCTGAGACTTAGTGGAAGCTTTCGGATCATGTCTAAGAAAAGGAATTGCGATATTGGAAGTTTTTTGTGTAGGTCGCGTTGTGCTTGAATTATGCTCTTTTCAAAGCAACGAGTTTTTCATTTCGGTCGGCAGCTCCTCAAAAGTACTTCCTAGCTGCCGAGATATGGGACATGCGCCAGACATGTTCGGACTGGCAGGTCGGTCCGAATGCCGCGAAACAAACCCCGATGAGATACTTATAAAGCCTCTCCTCTCGGACTTGCGACAAAATTGAGAATCAGCTTTTGCGATTTCTTTTGTCACTTTCTGTGTGTGCGGTGCCATGTCTTCTTTTGCCCAGAACAAATCCCGTCTGATCTCTATCCTCAAAGTAGGTCTCATTCTCTCATACGAAAACTTGCCCTCGAGGATTCATTAGGGGAACTGTCCCACTCTACATGACGCTTATCAACAACGCTGAGCTAGGCCCTCTCAGACCACCACAGCCTTCCGCGGCGATCTCTTCGCCATAATTGCCCCGCCCTGCCTCCTAGCGACGATCTCCACCCTCGAATTCCCAACCTTCTGGGTCGACCAACCCTCTCTCTTCGTCGCTCCTACCCTAGAGCCTGACCCCTGCCAACGAGCTCTCTTGATGCTTCAATGGTATCTCAGTAAGCAAGACAGCAGAATGTGGGTAGGACGACGAAGCTGAGCGGCAAGAAGCCGTTGAGGCTTCTTGGGGAGTTATTCCCCAGGGAAAAGGGAGGACCATGATGGTCTAGCGGAGACGGAATCGGTTTGCGAGCAAGTGAGCCCCCACCCGCCGACGTCAGAGTTCTGTATCCGTAACGAGGAGCACGGGGTGCAGCTGCAGGATTACAGCGCTCAACGAATGCCTTTCGCCGGCACTCTCTCCATTGTTCAATACGGCCATGCGAGTCTACATCTTTTCACTTACAATGAAGACTACGTTACTACCTTTTCTCCCCTCTCCATCCGTATCAAGGGCATTTTTTCTACTAGTTCGTACTCCGAACTCGAGGGTGAGACATTCATTCATCTACGGCTGAAATGATTATGTAAGCCATGTGAAGCACGAAGGAAAAAAAGTGGTCCCCTTAGAGTACAGCCGGTCTAAATATTTAGGTGCGGCTTCTGCCTCCGCACAAAGTTAATATGTGGACATAGAATTTGGCCCCTCGCTGTCACCTCCCTGTCGCTGTCCTTCTGTGCTGTTTCTCTACACTACCACCGCTGCAGCGGAGAGTCATACTTTTTTTTTTTGGGGAAAAAAAAAGTAGATAGGTGGGCGGAAGCGGAGAATGGCGTGCATTGACTATGTATCTCGCTATCAATCTACCTCAATAGGCTCCGTTTAATACGGTGTCTTGTGCACCTCGTCCGGGAAATCTGTATACCTTACCGTAGAGGACCTGTAATACGCTCTATTTGGGATCCACCACCTTAACCTCATCGGCCTGTTCGGTAGTTTGTGGCGACTGCGACTCCAGCTCGAGTATCGAGACTTGACGCTTAAGCCTCTCTTATAGCCGACGTCTGTAAGCTCCGTCTCTTATCGATAGCACGTTCAAATACTCGAGTAACGCCCTCTCGCTCTCGGCTCCTCCCACATGAAACTGAATCTTCGAATCCTTCGTGGTGTTGCGTGTGTGTAGTTCTTGCGGTGTGATACTTCCTGAAACTGACAATCCGCGGACCTCTCGTCTTTTTTCTGGGTGGGCGCGGGGGTGGGCGCGCGGGTGTTGTGGGGTGGGTGGTGTGCCATCTTTGTCCTTTCTTTGTGGGGCTGCCGTATATTCTGTGTTTTGTGCCGAGCGGTCACAGAAAAGCTGCATCGCCACATTCTCCGAGTCAGAGTAGGCGGCAAGGCTATTTTCGAAGCAAAGGGCAGAGAATGGGGAGCTTGTGTTCCGAGCTCTGCGCACCAGCCGTCCAATTGGAATCCCAAGCATCAACACCCATGCCATCACCCCTCTCACCATCCGTCCTCTACCGGAGCAAGATCCCAGGGAATCCCGCAAAGCCTGGTCCGGCGTCGTTGATGCTATCAGAGCCAACGATATGCTAGCCGCAGGCAGGGGGAGGCCGAAGATTGAGAACGGGCAGAGGGGCATGAGAGTGGCGGAGAAGGCGGAAGGGAAGAGGTGGGAGCCTCGGTTCTTCGGGAGAGTGGAGGGGGATGGAGTGGTGGAGAGGTTGGAACTGAATGAATCACGGGTTGGAAGAGGAGAAGATGGCAAAGGGGTTTGGAGGTGGGATGGAGAGAAGGCGAGGATGGTTTTGAGGCTCTTTCATGATGATATGTAGCCGAGTGGTTGAAGGATGAGATCTCCTGCTCGTTGGTGAAACTCCTTGGGCTAAGAACTGTGTAACACTGTGGGAAGAAGTACATTGAACTGGGAGCTTGACGGGACGTGTTTGCCCTGTTGGAATCCTTTCACTGTCAGGAGCCAAAAAAGAAGTCGACTCTCAAAAATCGACCGCCACGCATATTCTAACGACCTACGCAGGATTCGCACCTACAACCTGGATTGAAACCTTAGTATCTGAGCTGCACTGGTATGTGAGTCACGGAATCGTACGTTTTGCGTTGTAAACAAACGCGCTACCATTGCGCAAGCAGGCCAGTTGTTCTTGCTTCTTGGACACTATTCCCAACTATGCGTGAATGATCATAGACAGAGAATGATTTGCTGGGGTGGATTTTTTTAAAGGTGAATGATCGGTGATGTGTTTACCTCGTCTTACGTCAGATGCTCGATTCAGAAGGAGGGGCGTAGGTGAAGCCAAAGCAAAAAATCAAAACAAAATCGTGAGGTCTATCTTTTGCAACCCTGAGTTGCGAGGGAAAGCTCGAGGACTAAAAAGTGAACCATGTCTGACTCGAACAGACAACCTTCACAATGGGATCTCAGTATTTTGCGAAGTGAATTTGGAATGGGTTTTAGGCTCTACCTTTCGGACTGGAATCGAACACGCTACCATTGCGCCAATGGTCCATTTTTCTGTGCAGTATAAGCCTTGTTCGCATACTTATCTGGTATCACTACGCTGAAAAAGATCACAGGGAAGGATCCTTGTCTATAGGTAGCAGAAGCAAATGGTGAGATGGAACGGGGGATATTTTGAGCTGGGACTCTGACGGCTGTCAACACCCAAATGGAGTCTTTGGATTTGTGAATCGTACTCTACCTTCGCTGGTATTGCACGAGGATGCTTACTGGGACCGTACCAAATATTCAGTACTATTTCTTTTTTTTTTAAAAAAAAGCTTGAGCCATGGAAAGATTCCTTCATTCTCATCCTCATGATGCCTTGAGCTGCCGTTTCAGCATTCCACAAAAGCTCTCGAAAAGCACGCTGTCTCTGCCCTGCAACCATCGGACCATGACTCCAACTCCACCCTCATTCTCCTTCCTTAGCTGAATTTTGAAGCCGAGGGCTGGTTCGCCATTTTCATCATCCTGATCCATGGCCTGGTCTTTTTCCACAGAGTCGGTAGGACTCTGTTGCTGCTTGCGCCTCGCTGCTCGGGACCAAACACTTCCTTTGGCAAAGCCAACCCCTGTCGCCATAATTGGGCGATACTGCCATCGTAGTTCAAGCGCTTGAAGCGTGGCGTTCAGACAATGTGAACAGCTCTCGATTGATGTCTCGACAGTAAACGAGGACTCTGAAGGAAAAGGAAGTAGATGCTTGGGAAGTGTAGAGGTACCTCTTGCAGCGTCCTTCACGGGTTCCATCAGCTGATGAACGACTACAATTTCGTCGAGAAGGTCACACTTACGTGACTTGGCCGCATACTTCCCCAGCTCCATGCTACAGCCCAGCGTCTCGTTTTATTCCCTTGCACCAGGTCTTTGACCGCCCAATTGTCGACACCCGCGCCTCTCAGATTCCCAACAACAATCTCAACGCTGCTGTATTTCCCTAGCATGCTAGTGTACCATTGGCAGCGGTCCTTGAGTACCTTACTCTCGTCGATCATCCGGCTCACAAATGCAATCTCGCCTCCAGGTGTGACCATCTCAACATCAGCACCTGTACAGGCTGAGCATGGTGGCCTGGACTTTGCGGCGGCTGACGACAGGAGATCGGAGGTAGAAGAGTAGAATGGCGGGTTGCAGATAGTAAAGTCAATGCTGCAATTGTGTAAGACGGGGCAACATGGAGCTGCCAGAATTCCTACCTTTTGAGGCCAAACGCGTCAAGAGGTACCAGTGGATCATTTGGCTGGGTTTGAAGAGGACGTATCCGGGATTTGAGATTGTTTTGGAGAATGTTGCGCTTGGCATAGGTCATGTTCTTCTCATCGATATCTGTAATTGAATTAGTGGAACTTCAAGAACCTCCTAAATAGGAATGGTAAAGTACCGGTGACAGCAAATCTCCACTTCGGCCTCTGAGAACAGCCAAGCAAAGGGTAAATGCAGCTTGCTCCAGTTCCTCTAGAAAGATACCCTCAGCCCCAGACTGCGGAAACTCACGACTGGCGAGTCTCACATGTCAAGTCCAGTAACCGTCCGCTCGGCATCATAGCGGTCGCTGTATCTGTTGCTGGTAGTATCGAGCAGATCCTGGATCCATAGGATGTAATTGAACCTTTCATCAAGGTCAGGATAGTATCACCACCCTTTGGTCACGGCTCACAATTACCGATTAGGGACCTAAGTGTTCAAGTTCGTTCTTGAAGAGTAGTATGGAAGAATAGAAGGTTGCACGTACTGGCGGGCATAGACGGTCATCAGGTAGGTCGAGCTTGACGCCAAAATCTCGCTCCAGCAGGCTTTTCGTGAGCTGTCTGAGTCATGTGAACAGCAGTCTGGTTGCTAACGCGCGAAGAAGTCTCACTGTACTGCGTCTGGGTTGCTGAAATCCAGCTGTCCGTTCGATTTCAAACTGAAGAGTTGTCATTTGTATGAAGCGCTGGAGATTCCGAAGAGTCTTCGTACTATTTATTGAAAGCAGGGGATTGAAGGGCCAAGACAGCGAAGTCGACATCCTCCTCGTATATGTTTCTCTTTGCCATCATTCTCAGAAAAGCATTTCAACACACGGTATCATAGTTTCGTAGAGCCGGAGATAGAGGCTCAGCCCCGGGCGCTTAAATTATACCCGCGCGCAAGAAAGGCTTGGCTTACTCCAGATTTGCACCGAGTCGTGGGTAAATTGCCGTTTAGCCATCGCAGCCATGGCCGCAGACCTTTCCCAAAACTTGACAGACGTGCATGTACGCTCTTTACTTGATCAAGCTTATGATGAGCTTGGACTTGAAGCCCTCACACTACAGTCATGTGACGGGGATTGGCCCCAGTTCCTCGCTCAACGATTACAGCATCTCCTCGAAAAGCAGCCACAAGCTGCGAGTATAGACCACGAGTTCTTATCCCTTGCCACTTTTGCATTTAGTTGTTTCCTCCAGGCAAATGTCTCGGGACCCCCGTTGTCCTACAACTCGGCTGATGGGATCCTTCCAAGCTCTCTCTTCGAAGGGACTAACACCACCGTTGAACGACTGCAAAGGCGGCTGATCTCGGGCCTGAGCATTGATGGAGAAGCAGTTTACCGACTTATTCCCCACGTTGAGCTCTTTTGTCTAGCCAAATGTATTCTAAACCACCCATCAATGACGCAGGACTTACCGCTCAGACTGGCTCGCCTGAGGGCGAACTTCTGGCATCAGCGGCTGCTTACCGATATCTCTTCATCTTTACAAGATACAATTTACGATGACTTGCAGCTCATTGGCGACAGCGTGCTCAGTAGCCCCCCTTTCAATAGTATCATTACGCCCGCTCAGTTCTTCCTTGAACGGGCAACAATCCACATTTACCACGGTTTTGACCAAAGAGCGAGAGCAGATATTGAACAGGCGGCACGGGAAAGATCTTTCCATTTTGCATTGACTGGAAGGTTAGGAAAACGGACAAAGTACCAAGAGAAGGAGTTGAGCCAGCTGGTTGTGCTTGCCACAAGCGTAGATGAGGATGATGAGGCAGCTCGATCCGGGAAGAGTACGAACGCAGACACCATTGAAACGGGCCCAAGCTCCTATCGACGAACAGAAGCAATACCTCGAAAGCTGAATTTGAACGATGACACTCTGTTGGAGTCAATTGCATTCACCCAACCCGCAGCATCCGTCCCAGATTTCCAGCAAGATGACCACCTACATCCATCGTTAGAGACTTTGGATCCTGGAAACCAGCCACTCCTACAACCGCTTGACGCTATCATTCTCCTTGCTACAGCCTCGTCAATTACAAATACTTCACCAACAGACGGCTTGACTCGCGAGGAAACTTTGCCATACGCCGAGCGGGTCATTTCGGGAGGTAGCTCGAACTGGCAGGTGTACACTCAAGCCCTGATAGTCCGAAGCCGCATCGAAGGCTATCGATCACGCACCATAGAAAGAAGCGTGCTGCAGCTGCAAGCTGTCGTCGACCAAGTGGTTGCGGAAACTTCATCGTATAAGGCTTCCAAAGACGATGCAGCATCCGCAATGACAACGTCCACGACGTTCCTACCTCAACCAAAATCGACCGAATCAGCATCTGCCTCCGAACGTCTCCGATACATACATCAGCTCGCTTCTTCTCCACGATGGAAACTTGAGGCCGAACTTGCAGACCGCTGGGTCTCTCTTGGTGGGCTCCGCACAGCACTAGAGATCTATGAGCGTCTCCAAATGTGGGCTGAAGTTGCTCTGTGCTGGGCAGCGAATGACCGAGAAGACAAAGCTCGGAAGATCATACGGCGCCAGCTATACAACTCTGTCATCACCACATCAACGAACAAGCTCCTCGAAGACGATGAAGACAATGATGTTGGAGACTACAGGATAGAACGGGATCCTCTACCAGCAGATGCTCCACGTCTCTTCTGCATCCTTGGTGATCTTGAGAAGTCCACAGCTGCGTACGAGCGTGCTTGGGAGATATCGAATCAGCGGTATGCTCGTGCGCAGCGCTCATTGGGTAAATTCTACTCAGCGAATAAGGATCTTGACAAAGCGGGCACAGCTTACGCAAGATCACTGAAAGTCAATCCGCAAAATCATGCGATTTGGTTTGCCTTGGGATGCATTAGACTCCAACAGGAGGACTGGGCTGGCGCCGTGGACGCTTTCGGACGAGCCGTACAAATTGAGGATACCGATGCAGAGTCTTGGAGTAACCTTGCGGTGGCCCTGTTGAAACTCCCACCTCATATATTACCGGGCGACCCAGATACTTTTGGTACAAAGCTGGATAGAACCCACTCCAATGTTGAACTTATGCCAGAAGGTTGCAGTAATGGCTCCAATGTACCGGCAACGGACCCCCAAAAACACGTAAGGGAGGCTTTTGTCGCGCTCAAGCGTGCCGCAGCTCTCAAGAGGGAGTCCTTCCGAATATGGCAGAATCTACTTAGTGTCTCGATCAAACTATCACCACCTCCATATACTGAGATCATGATTGCTCAAAATCGGCTCATTGAACTACTCGGAAATAATGAAGGTGAGAGGTGTGTCGATGTTGAAATTGTCGAGGCACTGGTAGCGCACCTCGTCACTGCCTATCCACGAGCTCCAACAGATGCGGAGACGACGGAAATTAACGATAGGCAGCCCGAAGACGGCGGCACACTCCAGGTGTCAGCGCCTAAAAGGGTGGGATTTGAACGGATGGTGATCGACCTAGTTCAGAAAAGGGTCACGCCTCTTATTACTTCGTCTCGCCGTCTATGGCTAGTTACCGCCAAGCTGTCGCTGTACCTGCAGCGTCCATCCGCAACCTTATCCGCCTATGAGAAAGCATGGCGCGTCACCCTGAATCAACCTGGATGGGAAAGTGGTACTGGGGAGGCAAAGGATGCTTGGAGAGAGGTCGCTGACTCAACGATTGATCTATTGGATGGATACGAGAGCCTAGGGGAAAGAATTAGAGAAGCTGGGATGGGCGCAGGAGAGTTGGTTGCTAAGGATTGGAGATTCAAATCCAGAAGCGCGGTCAGGTCCGTTCTGGCAAGAGCGAAGGAGGGGTGGGAGGGCGACGACGGGTACGAGACCCTAGGGGAAAGATTGCAGGAGCTGAAGAGTGCATGAGGTTAGTTTGTTCTACATGACATACGAATATTAGACCTCCGGTCGATGGAGAGACTTTCACAGGCTGCAGAACTCGGGCTCACCGAAACCTGCAGCTGGACATGCATTGGAAGCAAAGGGCTCGACAATCTATGACGTCTCACAGACTGACCCACCGAAAGTCTGCATTACCACTCAAAGTCTGCTTGTGTATGTTTCTAAGGTGCTGCCACCTTAAGCAACCAAACTTGAAACGATGTGGATACTCTTGGCAAGGTATCTTGTGCGGATTCCTCTTCAGGTTGTCCCCGTCTTCTCCAGGACTTCGAACTGCGCATTCCTTGAACGAAGCCGCTAATTCAAGGCCAAGCGACTAGTCTCCCATTTGAGGTTTGATGGATCCTGATAAAATCGCTCTATCGGCACACTCGCCTAGTCGTTGCCCTCCTGTCTGGGTTTCTTTGCTGGCGCTCTCTCTCTCCCTCTTACTCGACTTCCATCACGGGAGAGTACTCAGATGCGCTCAGCAGCAATGGCAAATCAGCGGCTACCACATCCCGTTGCAACCAGCTCCTGTGCTGCAGCTTCTCTATCGGCATCGACCGGTCCCAAATCTCCAGTCTCTACAGCAGCAGCCAGGCTCAGTAATTATATTTCCGGCTACTTATGCATGCGCAAAGCTCTCTGTCCACTTGCGGCCAGAATGTTGACAGGTGTATCTACATCTGCACTGGAGATAGTCCAGATGGTGAACGTGGAGACATGATGTACGCCCCATGAGCGCAAAGACTACTTTGAGCATGCCATCGAGCGTTCGAAGAGCGAGAAAGTTCTGGGGTACAGAAGTGAAGATACCTGCCTTGCATTGACCCAAATGAAGTAGTTCCTGCATACCCCGGAAGCAAGGGGTCTTGGCACTGTAATGCGCACCCTTTGCACCCCCAACACCTGAGACGTTGCTGTATCAGCATTGAATCTAATTCATCGATCCGGTCTGATGTCAGCATTTCGAGAAATCTATTTCTACTCCTTTCTTTATTCGCTACTCCCACTTTCTATCCTCTCAATTTCCATCACGACAGAGACGAGCATGATTAAGCCCAGTGGCCTGAAACTCCAGCACCGAGAGAACTTCGGAGCCAAGAATGGGAGACCGATGTGCAAAGACGCAACAGGGCGGGATGTCGTCTCGGACAGGAGGGAAGGAAGCAAACAATCATCACTACAGTCGAGCCTCGAAGAAGAAAAAGTCAGCTCCAACTCCAACACCGCGGAGCGTGTCGCGCGGTTAACGCCAATCAACACATGGCTTTCTTCAACTCAACCATTAGGTCTCTACTAGTGGCCAGTTTTCCTCCTTCTCGTCCTGGTCTTCTGGCGCTCTCCCTCCTATTCGGTCTCGATTCGGACAGCTTCGTCATCGAACCGATTCGACAACGCCAACACTGTACCTCATTCCAATTTCGCTGCATCTCATTGCTTTGCTTCAGCGCATCGTTGTGCATCCGCAAACCCGAAGGTCTCTTGCCTAATTTCAACCCTCAACCAACGACATTGATTTCTCCCGTCCTGAGGACATGCAAGAAGGACAACAAGGACTGGTACTGGAAAATGAGGTTGAATGGACGGCGTTACAAGGTTATGTGCTCGAATTCATTTATACGAGCTTCCACGGACCTCACTCTCGAAGGCGGCGGGGTGGCGGGATGGTGTCTTCAAAGATGCATCTTGGATAATTCTAATTGCGAGGGCAGTTTGTATCTTTTTGATCGCCTTTTCGAAAGCAACTGTTTCTTCCAGCAGAGTAACGAACGGCCGGCGTTCGAAGCGGGTGAAAGAGTTCTAGCCGCGAAAGTTTCGAAGGATTGAAGTTGATAGCGTCCTCTTACCATTAGTCTGCTCCCTTTTTGCCAATCAGTATCTCGAGGGCCTTTTTTGGATCCGTGCAATCTGTTGTGACTGTGCCTGTTAAGGGAAGGCTCCACAATGTTTTTCGCCTCGCGAGGCTGATACCCGTTGGCCCTTGCATCGGTGTGACCGAGCGGCTACTGCAACATTCACATCGCTTCTCCATGTCACAAAAGATTTTGAATAAGCCTTGAGGTTGATGAAGTTCTAGAACATCTCTGCATTCTTCTACAACGACCAGGAAATATCGCGCTCCAGTCGATACAAACACCTCTATCACGAACGGCATGAAGTTTGATACTGAAGGAGAGTACTTGGAGAGGATGTGGGAGGATCTCCAACAACATGACGCTGGGAAGAGCGTCGGCGCATCACGAGACAATGGCACTACAGACGGCAGCTTGAAAGATACCAAAGCTCTTGAGCCCAGCTCTTGATACACGTTTCTCGCCCACGCCTTCTGGGCCGTCTTTGCTTGCCTCCTAGTTATGTCTGCCATCAATCAATTCAAGGTGGCATCGATCGCAGAATCAAAATCCCCTGTAAGCTTTGTCAAGGAGAACCAGGGTGCTGCAACTCTCCCAACATGCCTTTCTCGGGACATCAACAGCACCTTATCTGTGTTGGGCTCTCACGCCACTACGGCAGCTCCGAAAGTGTTGTTGAAGTCTTGTACACTTTCTCCACAAAACATGTCGCTCATTAGCAAAGTCTTCAGCGCATGCTCATGCCTCCTTAGCACGTCAACAGAGGATGATGAACCTTCGACAGTGACCATCTGAATGCACAAATCCGAGAAATTTTTCTCAGGTGTCAGTCTTGCTAATAACGTTTCATAGACGACAACAGTTTGGACGATGAGGGTTTCTGCAACGACTTTTCCCAGCAAAGTTTCCAAAACTCGACAAGAACCGTGACACAATGCTACGATGACGCGCGCCTATGTGCCGCACGCAGCTCCGCCAGATCGAGCTCAAGCAGCATCACTGCAATCCCTGCGCAATTCGAAAGTTTGACATTTGTGTTCCCAGACCAAACCTCCCTTCATTCAATGCATATGTATGTTCTCCTCAACGGGTTGGTATGGGGCTTCACTTCCTACATACTTCATAGCCCATTTTACTTAGATAGTTACCAGATGCACCGTGCTTCACACATGTTGCTTACATGCTCTATGACAAAGCATTTTTCTGCGAGCTCCCCTAGGTGGACGATGATAGTCGACAAGCTAAGCTGGTAAGCTAAACCGACGCGGACACATACCACTTCTACAGAGGGTCTTGTTTTTCAAGTGTTTATCAGACAAAAGGTGCTTTATTTTGATAGCTATTTAGCCCAAAAAGCCACAAGGGCCTTGGCTTAGCTTGCTACACCACAAGTCAATCAATATCCTAGAACTATATATCCATAGTTCCCGGCTCATAAATCGTGTCATTCGCACACTTTGTGCCCTCCTCTAATTTCGATATCTTCGAGCTTAAATATGCGAATTGTATCTCAAACGTATAGTGCTAGAGCAGAAAGGGTCTTCGTGAAGGAGGTTCTTGGCCCGAGTTCCCCAGATCATACGGTCCCGGTGTCATCTGACGTACGGGGGCTATTGCATGAGCCAGTCCTGCGGCCTCATACTAGCCTACATGACCCTGCTGCCCTTCAGCCGCCGCTCTTCATTGGACTGGTTCCCTGATTCGTTGACACCAATGACTGGGCAGACAATAGGTGCCTTCATGGCGTGTCCCAACACCATCCCTCGTCACAACACAAACAACCCTACATAATCCTCGAAGTCATAACTAACAATCTTTAGTGTCACAATTTCAGCCCTCCTACAAAACACACTACCTAATTAGGTCAAGCGCGGCTTGACAGTACCTACATATACAGACTTCACACCGAAATGGACCTCTTCATAGCTATCATTCTATTCACACTGCAATACCAGCTATGAGCATCTATTCAGTCCGCGACATTAAGGGTGAAGAAACATTGATCTCGACATCGACTCGGGTCAGCGACCTCACCAACAGCAGGCTTTCCGGACACGTAAAGATGCGGGAAGTTAGCAGCAAGGCAACTTTCCCCTTTTTCGACCTACCAGCGGAGTTGCGAAACAAAATCTATCGCTACTTGCTGTCGACCAAGTACACCAAAGTCGAGCTGACGTACCACCTGCAAGGCCCACGGGTGAGTCTTTCTTTCGATGGAGAACACCAATCTTTAATCTTTATTCCTTTTGTCAGCATAAGTATGCTAATGCTCTCCGAAACAATAGGACGGCTTTCCATCATGTCAGCCTTCTCATTACTAACGCTTTCAAACAGGAATCCTAGGCACAAATCGACAAGCATACTTTGAGGCTGCCGATATATTCTATCGCAAAAACCTGTTTGTATCTCTCACGCCCTCACGCTTTGGGTTTGACTCGAAAATGGCAGGGGTCGTCGTTGTGGCCACTGACCACCATGCGAGCAACTTCAAGCATCTCTCCATGAGAGTGCACATCAGCCCTCACTGGTATAGTGACGAGCGATCGCATACCCCTTTTGATCAGTTTATCATAGCTGGAGACGATCTACCTTCCTTTTGCAACATTCTACCGGGATTGAATATCCATGGTCTTAGACACTGGAAGAGGGAGATATGGATTTCGACTAACGTCTGTGTCCAAATTAATGTTCAACGCTTTGCGGATGTTGAGAGCAATAAAACCAAGCCTGAGACGGACCCTTTCTCGGTGAAGAGACTACTGGAGCTTTTTCGTCGTCTCTATGGTATGAGAGTCAGAGTAGGAGGCCATGTGACGCCATCATATAAGGAGAGCATCGAATATTGTGCTGCGCGACAGCCACCCACAGCTGCGGATCTGGTATGCATGATCTCCAAGCGCAGAGAGGAGGGCACCCAGTCTATGCAGAATAGCAACATTGCCACAGCGGTGACAACATTCGAGTCGGCTTTAGATTTGTTGAGGTCAGGCCACATGCGCCTTACAATCCATCCAGTGACGGTAGCGACACCAGAAACTCCCGATAAACAGGTCACGACAGCAATGCAAACCCTCGAAATCAATCTCAGATGTCTGCTAGCTTCTTCGTACTTGGAGCTTGGAGAACATGCCAAATCCTATCGCTGTGCGCAGGACTTGAGGCTCACAAAATTGTTCGATCGCTACCGTACTTTTAGTCCACCGGAAGGGCCAGACTGGGCTCGCATAATGTTCATCCAGGCCATGGCTGGAAAGGCCTTGGGTCAGCCGGTTCAAGCGCTCATGGATCTCGACCTTGGGCTGACTTTTTGTCCTGATGATGAGGCAATGAAGGAAGAGAGAAAATCCTTGTGTGGGTTTGTACGGAAAAAGATGAATAGCGATTTGCAGATGAATGGGGCGCGGGCTTTGGATAGGAGGACTACAAGGTTAAAGAAGCGTCAACCCTCTGCTGTAGCTCAGAGCGTGGTGTGATGGAAGAACCTTGAAGCATGGAATATAGAAAAACATGCCATATAGACTCTGCTTATGGAAGCATGGTGGGCTGTCTTTCATGTGGGGCCAAGATGAGCTACTGCCATACCACTGAGCGAAAAAGAAACAAACGGACTGGGAAAGTGGCTTCGAACGGTACCCCGATTCTAAGTAGTCAAAATAATTCTCTCCCTGTGATAGAGACGACCAATATCCATCTCTTATCATGTTTTACGTTGCCAAATTAGCTCTATCACATTAAAGGTACTGGAGTGAAGCTTCACGGAAGAGTGTTGGATGGTCTTCTTTGGGTTAGCCTTCTTCTATTTTGTCAGCCGAAGAGCACACAACAACTTTTGCATAACTCTCTTCCAACATTTACTGCCATCATAAACCCAGCAACGAAGGATCAACACCTGATACACGACCACATCATTTAGTCACCATACTGGGGCAACGGCATGCCATTTCAGGCTTTTGGTAAACGACACATTTGGATCTAGACCCAGCGAGACTGACCTTTCAATTACTACGACACTAAGTTGAACACCCTTTTTTCGGACCAACATCAGAGACCGACACTCGAGGTCATCCAAGTATCCGACAATGTCTGAGTCCCCTAGGTCTACTCCCGCGGATTTGATGCCTTCAGACAAAGATCCTCCGACTTGTGCACTTCTCAGGCTACCTACCGAGATCCGGGATGAAATCTATCGCTATCTACTCTCCTCAGAGTACATTAAATGCAAGATCCCATACCCGGTAAGTACATTTACCGTCTTCATCGAGAGCTCTGTACTCTTCCTTTATGGTCCAGGGCTAACGCCGACGGTATAAATAGGGTCGCGCATTCGAAACCACCTACTACACCTACCCTTTTCACAAACAAATCCTGTGCACGAATCGCCAGGTCTACCGAGAGGCCATACACATTTTCCGAACGGAAAACCTGTTCTTCCGCTTCACCACCAACCACCCTAACGTTGGGCACATTCTCTGGTCGTCGCAAGGTCTTCTCCTCCTCACTCACGGCATCCGGGCTGGCTCTTTCAGGCACCGCGCCATGGACGTCATCCACTATTGCCCTCGATCAGGGACTACCGGGGATCACAAAAACTGCGATTGCGCCCATCTTGACTTTAAGACATGTCTGTTCGTGAGCGACCAATTGCCCAACTTGTTACGTACTTTGAGGGCTTACAGCCAGCAAGGCAATCGATGCCTTGCACAAAGTTCGTTCGCGGTCTCTGTCTTCGATGACTTCGATCAGTGGTCCACTGAAACACAGCCGTGTACCTCTTATGTTTGTCCACGCATCCGGAATCTCCTAGACCCATTCAAACTCCTCTACGACGTGGATGATCTAGACATCCAAGGATCGGTGAATGAACCATATAGGCAGTCGATTGTAGCAAGCGCTACACAACGGGAGCCAACAGTAGCAAAAATCGTCACTACTGCATCGGCATTCCAAAAACAAGGCGACGAAGCCTTCCGCAATCACCATTTCGAACTCTCACTCTCCTTGTACACATCAGCAATCAGCGAAGTTCAGGTAAACCACCATTGGGCTGATTACACGGGATTTGTGACGACAGGGCAATATGCTGGGATGAGCACACCGCACGCCGTGAGGAGGTTCAAAATCCGGATTCATTCGGACATGGCGGGCGCTCTCGTGAAAGTAGGTGAATACAGGAGAGCGACGGACCACGCAAAAGAGGCCATCAAACAGAGAAACACGCGCGGAACACCACCGGAAGAGTGGGAGGGGCTGTATCTCACAACCACCGACTGCGCGAAGCCGTACCTCTGGGGCGGACTGGCCTACGAAGGCCTCGGAGACCTGAATCGGGCGATCTACGGGGTGGGAGAGGCGTTGTTTTATTGCCCGGAAAACAAGAGGTTGGAGAGGGAGTACAAGAGGTTGGAGCTGGAGATTGAGAAGCAGGGGATTGTGCCTACGGAACATGCGTTCGGAAAGGGTACGAACTGGTGGGTGCGCCCACTGGTGGTGCGGAATCAGAGGAGGTTGGGGGGATCGCAAAGGTAGCTGGAAAGACAGCTCAGTAGGCAGAGCCTCTAAACATTGGCTATGTATCTTGTCGTCATGGTAGACTGGCCTACTTTCCAGGCAAGCAACTTCAAAGTTCTGGATCTCAGAGGCATGCAGTCTTTACCTGTGCACATTTCTTGTTATTCCAAAACCTGTTCTGCGTGGTGAAGGAATAGCCTGCACAGCCAACGACAGTCTTTGAGTCTGGGGACAAAGCAGGATTTTTTTTCACACTGATTCACGCTACCTCGCAGTTCAGGCCTACACCGTTGACCTGAATCCCTCGCCAAATACTTCCATCCTCTCTCAACTGCATCCCATCAACCCCCTATCAAGAACACCCTAAGAACTTTTCTTGACTCTATCAAAGTCCGCAGGATATCTCATCACGAACGGCTGTCCATACCTCTTCTTGCGTCCATCCCTGTCCAGACCCTTCCCTGCCAGAGCTAGAACTTCTCTGACCGTCCTCAGCTGTCTCTCTCTGTGTTTCCTCTCGTCATCCTCGAACAGTTTCAACTCCTCTTCCAGATGGGGTGCAATGTCCACCGCTTTCTGCATCGAGCTGACTGCTTCCCCCACCGACCGAGTTTGTTATTGGAACGCGCATGCAGTTCATAAGCCCTTAGGTAGCGACGATCGGCCTCGTGGTCGATGTCGGGTGGACCCCCATCCTGGTCGATGGTCCTCACCGCCCGTCCGCTCCATTTGCGACATTGTTCGTACTGTTCCAGTTGGGCGTGAGCTGCTGCCAGCCTGATGCGGAGGCTGAATACAATGTTTGTATAGACGTGGTGGAAGTCGCTTCCAGCGGTGGAAAATGAGATAGGGTTCCCCAACATCCGCACAGGCCGGTCGAATATGGAGCATGAGTTTTTCAGGTCGGTCATGGCGGCTTCGTAGAGTCTGATGGCCTGACGGAAAAGGTCTTTAGGTTTAGTATTTCGGGCGTTGAAGACATCGTCGCCTTCTCGGATCTTATCTCGCACCTTGAACGAGCGTTCTTGGAGGCTGGGGGCCTTTTTGCAGATGTCCAGGCATAGCTCTGTCTTGTATTGTTCGTCCAAAGATCCGGTGATTTTGGTGGATTGAAAGCTGTGGAGAATGCGAAGAGGTTCTAGCAAGCTTTTCACTTGCGGTATGGTGAAGGAAGCACGGTTTGGGCTTGTTTCAGCTGTTGTATTGCAGTGCAGGTTGACTAAGAGCGTGCTCTCATAGATGGCCTTTGACGATTCCCCACCAAGAAGTAACGCAGTGCAAAAGGCTGGCAGATCAGCTCCGGCGAAGATACGCTAGGAACAGTCAAGAGTTAGTATACCTGATCCAGAACAGAAAAACGAGTTACAGTACTCTTTGGAGTACACACCTGAAAAGGATGTTTATCCTGGTAGTGGATAAGGTGTTCCAGCTCGACTTTGATGTGCAAGACACTATAGACAAAGCCAGATGCTATCGCACCTTCTGCAACAATCGGCACCCCAAGCCATTCAAAGTCGACGTTCCAATCTGTGAGGTCAGATGTCACCTCCACAAACATGTTCTGATCGTATAGGACACAGCTGGCCTCCCGGTTAATCTGGCGATTGGCCCCTAGGATTCCGGGGTGGAAACGATAAACATGTGTAGGACGAGGTGTGCAGTCGAAGTCTTTGGTTAAGTCATAGTTATACTCCCATTCCTAGTACATCTTTTGAGCTCTTGCCATGTTGAACTAGATTTTTGCTGGGTAACTTACTGGGTCTTCTTCCCTGGGGTAGTGCTTGGTGTACTTGGTTGAGAGTAAGTAAGCATATATCTGGTCACGAGTCTCGGCAGCGAGTCGCAAGAACGGAGGTGTCTCCATTGTTCAAGGGCTTGCGCGTATCGATGGTTTCGTTATACGCTGACAGGATACAGGGTTGATAAAGTGGCGTGTGCTGATGGGGAGATGGGGAGTTTTTATCGATGGTATGGACGTGGTGTCGAAGATAGTTGATGTGTTTTGGGGTGATGATCTTATTGGTCTTGTAAGATTGAAATTTTCCAGACTAACCTTCTTCAACCGTGATTGGTGTTATCGCCACTTCATTAACAACCCAGGCAGTGTTCCTCCAGCGTGACACAGTCTGCTATTGGTCAACTACCCGAGGCGTGACAGGTACTGCAATCTTCCAAGGCTCCCATGGTCACTGACTTGACTTCTTTATCCTTGACGCCCACCGGGTCGCTTGGCTTGGATTCCTGAAGACGTGACTTGATTCGAATGATTCGAACTGTAAAGTCCAGACATGGCCGACAGCCGAGAACTGTGTCCGTTTCTGAGTCTTCCACTCGAGATTCGGAACCCCATTTACTCCTATCTGCTTTCCACCAAGTACACAAGAGAAGACATGATAGAAAAGATCACGGTAGGTATTGCTTCCCAGTCACTCAGCTGGATACTGACAACGCATACCAGATTTCTGATAGCAAATACAAAGGATCCCACTACCGTCCAGCTCACAAGTACCACTTTCAGCCAGCCATACTCCGCTGCAACCACCAGGTCAACCAGGAAGCTACGGCCGTCTTTCACAATACGAATCTTTTCGTCTCGGTCTCCCATAATTACAGCAGCGGGGAGATCTCAGCCTTCGGAGAAAAGTTCGATCTCCTCGAGAGCCAGTGTGATGGACGTGGCTTCCCTGTCCTTGCGCGTGGTAAAAAAGCGCGGCTCTTCGACGGCTACGCTATGGAGATTTATCTCGGTAGAGCTAATAGGAGAGACGCTCGGGGAAGGTGGTGGAACAGCCCGAAGCCACAGAAATGGGAAATCCGACCAAAATTCATGATCGCGTCTGACGATTTGCTGCAATTTTGCAAAATATTCCTACTCCTCAGTATGAGGGCAGCAAAAACAGATGCAGAGTCCGACTCGATGTTACATCTCAAGAAAGCAATGCTTCTGGTAGATGTCCTGCATAAGACTGATCAGCACAACCGCGCAAATGAGGGTCCAAGACCAGCTATACGAAGACTTCTAGAGCCTCTCGCTTACTTTCACAACATAGGACTCGTCATAATCGAAGGCCCCGTGCCAACGCTATATTCTGAGGCCATCAGGCAGAGAATTCAAAGGCGAGCACCGAGCGCGCAAGACCTGGTTCATGCAGTGTCCTCACTGGTAGAACAAGGTGACGCAGCTTTCCTCAAGAGAGACTTCCATTCAGCTGTTTTTGTGTACAAGAGCGCTCTTGAAAAGCTCCATGCCGGCAGCCAGAAGCGCCCAAAACTTGAGACGATGGTCGAAGGTACATATACAGGAATGGTCATCGGCGGGGTCAAAAATTTGCTCCAACACAAAGTCTACTTGGGCCTTTCCAAAGCGAGCTTACAGCTCAAAAGATTTGAAATGGCGCATCATTGGACTCTTGCCGTCGCCCGCGGTCTCAGAGATACACGTGAAATACTCTCACAGATGTGGTTCTGCCGAGCTTTGGCGAGCAAGGGGCTGGGAGAGCTGGAACAAGCCCTTAAAGAGATGGAGATGGCGAGGCTGATACAACCCAATGATCTGGGAATCCTGGCTGAGATAGCTATCTTGTCTAGCCTTCTGGGACCGGGGAAGCAGCAAGCAGAGGCCGTTTGAGTATTCTTTTGAAAAAGGAGGTGTAAGAACTCTGCTACATAGCCATTAGGACGAATATTGGAGTTACTTATTATGACACTACCACGCACCTGATAGTTCTAAGTCCTTTGAACATTTCCTGAGCCATCGAGAACAGGAGCACAAGACCAGTGAAAGTCCCAAGTTAACTGTGACTCGTTGCCAGCCATTCGCTAAATCCCAACAGGCAAGGAAGAAACAAACATTTGCGCTCAATGTCATTTTGTTCTATCTGTAGCTGAGTGTGAATTTCTATACAAGAATTAGCATTGATAGCTGGCTGATTGCCTCTTCTATATATTTATTGGTCCTAGGCCTCTAGTGGAGGCACCCACCAACCGGGGGCTGTTTTAGCACCCTTGGTGGACAGAACTAATTCCGGCACTGGCAAGTAAGTCGCCAGACTGTTGGGAGTGACGGGTATGAGTAGATGGAGAAACCTTCACCCACTTTTTGACATAATCTTGTTTTTTAGTGGCTTTTCCATGAGACTTGCAGCCAACAACACAGCAAATTCACATCATCACAGTGTATTTAATTAACGTCAATTCTCCACAAGTCAACCCGCTTCATTTCCACATCGATTCGCTTCTTCACAAGATCTCAATTCTCGTACGTCTAGATCTAGGTCACAGCTTCCAACAGAACGCATGCTAGAAATGTCCGACACTAGCGGAAGTTGTCTGTTCCTCGGCTTGCCCTTGGAGATCCGCGAGCAGATATATGGCTATCTTCTGACAACCAAATCGACTAAAGAATACGTCCTGCACAAAGCACCGGTATGCGACACTGGGTCACGCTGTTTTCCAATACTTACTCGTACTCCAGAGACTCGGCAGAAGGAACCCAAGAGAAGTCAATCCAAGCAGTCAACACCGGCCGGGGCATGTATATCGTTTTCAGACAGCAATATTGCGCACGAACAGACAGATCAACAAGGAGGCCGAGCATGTCTTTTATGGTTGGAATCAATTCGTGTCCATATCCCATAATTGCAATGTCATGAAAGCCTTCAACCATCTGCAAGAGATTTCCAAAAAAGAAGGCATCAAAAAATTCTTCGAACGAAGAGGCTTCCCGGTCCTCGCGATAGATCAGACAGCAAGAGATTTCGAACACTACGCCATGGACGTCTTTTTTGGTCAGTTTCCCACCGCACCAACCTCTGCTTCGCTAGAATACTGGTGGACCAACGGAAAGAGAAGCGAAAACGACTGGCGGCAAAAAAACATGTTCATGATTGCCTGCGATGACTTACAGCAGCTCTGCAAGGTTATTCTAGAGGTCCATCATTGCGTATACCGTCGTGCTAGGTTCCCATCTCGAGACCATACAATACTCCTTGTGGACGTCATCAATCGTGGCGACCGGCTGAGAAGATGCTTGAAAGATGGCTCCATTCCAGTCGATATCAGAGTAAAGCGACTTCTCGAACCCTTTCGAAGGCTCCACAGCATTGGCAGAGTCATCATTGCAGGACGGATGAACGAGCAATACAGGAGTGAGATTGTGGCCAGTATTATGAGAGAGCCACCAACCGTCGAGGATCTGATTAACACGGCTTGTGCGACCAAAGCAGAAGGCGACGAGGCCTTTCGCAACAAGGACTTCTACGCGTCTATTTCAGCGTACGAGAAGGCGTATAGCGACATCGAGGCTGGTCATCAGCCTTCATCCCTTTTTGCTTTAGTTGCAAAAGGCAAATACGAGGGACTACTGGTCTCGCGCGCCAAGGAACACCTCTTATTCACACTGCGTCTGGAGATTGTGGCAGCCCTGTTGCAGCTTCGTGAGTGCCAGCATGCTCAAAACTGGGGAAGGGTGGAGCTCTACACCCACAAAAACGTGATCTCCGACGCCGAATTTGCTCGGATTTGGCACCTTAGGTCGCAAGCTAGTAGAGGGTTGGGTCACTACGAGGTAGCCTATCATGAGCTGGTTCAGGCGGTAGTAACCCATCCTGATAATAAAGACATGGCGGCGGATCTTGGAAACATGACCGCCAACGTATTGAAGAGCTCGGCGGTAACGCTGACATGGGCGTCATCGTCTGGGGTTTGAAAACATAATCGACTGCAGAGAGGGTGCCGGACAGACCTAGAGGACGCTGCGGGAAGGAAAATCCGTGTATGATGGGAAGAGATGCATCGAAGCAAAGGGCTAGGGTGGCGAGCGATAGATTCTGCGGAAAATCAGCCACATGGTTGGACGACCGGGGGAATACAGGCTTAGACTACGAACAGGACATTATCTTGATCAGAAACATCACACTGCTCACGTTGTTCTTCTCTAGCCCAAAACGGTTACTCCAACGGACTTTACCTGTTTCAAGAGTGGACGCCCTCCCCAAGATTCCTCTTTCTTTTCTGTTCTGTGCTCCGAGCCTTCGACTCCCAGATTGATTCCCATAAGCTGTACGCATCTTCCCTCACTCCTCTCATCGATTCCAGCCACTCTTTTTCGCGAAAAGCTCCGCTAGCACAACTTCATTTGTGTTCTTCAACCGCACAGTTCCCACACGACACAGAACTTCCTTGCACCCGTCTGCTTCCCGCGAAGGCCAAATGGCATGTCCCTTTCTAGAAAAGACAGCACTGGAGATCCGCAACGAGATCTACTCGTACCTACTGTCCACTGAGTACACAAAGCGGCCCGTTTGTGATGATGAGGTGAATCTCCTCTTACTAGCCGATTAATGTATTTTAGCATCCAAAGTCGCTGATTTCGAACTCAGATACCTTCGCGTATCAAACGGAACTTAGGATGCAGCCATTTGTATGACTTGCAGCCGGCAATCCTCCGTACCAACAAGCAGATCAACAAGGAATCCCGCCGTGTCCTCTACAATGAAAATCTGTTCGTTCTGGTCAAATACCCTCAGGGTTTTGGGTTAGATGGAGTCCTGACACAGGATTTGACACTACTGGCCGCCAAAGAGGACGACGTACGCTGTTTCCGGTCAGATTTGCTTATCAGCTTGCACGTGGACCTTTGTCTGCCGGGGATTGAGTCACAAATTGTGATTGCTGCCAACGAGCTTCCGGTGTTCTGCAGATTACTTAAACAGTTCGATGACAAGATTTCCGGATTTTTGTCCAGACTCATATTGTCACTCGGAGTTTTTCCCTCTTACACACTGGACGTCGACGCTTCCGCGCATATGAGAAAATCCAGCCGAGTGTCATGGAAACCACGTCCTTTACTGCAACAGCGTAAGCTTCTAGAACCTTTCGCAGGGCTCCATAGTATGACGAACCTTAAGATAGCGGATATGGACGGCAAGACCCAATATATCAATGTGAAACTAATGGAAGACGTCAAGAAGAGGGCCAGTCGGGCACCATACAGCATGGAAGAGGTTCTGGACACATCAGCCAAGATCAACGAGAAGGGCAACGAAGCCTTCCGCGCCGGTGACTTTGCGCTCGCTCAGTCACTGTACGAATCAGCTCTGGTAACCCGTGAAGACGGGAACCGCTACCTTGAAGAAGGCGAGCTCGCTGGACAGACGCATCTCCTCCGAGCAACAGGTTTACTAGGATTCCGGATAGGGTCCAACTTGGTCGCCGCACTCCTCCGCTTGCAGCAGTGGACGGCTGCTCACGAGAAGGCAACCAAGGTAATCAACATGGTAGAAAAAATTGGAAAGAATATTGTCTTTGAGCCTGGCGCGCTGGCTAAGCTCTATCATCGGAGAGCGCTGGCAAGCCAGGGAATGGGAAAGATGGCTCGAGCCGTTAAGGAGATTCAAGAGGCATTGTCCTTCGACCCAAAAAACACGCAGATGAAGGCGAAATTGAAGGAGTGGAAGTTGCAGTCAAAGGATCCGAACCAGGTACAAGCCGCATTGAAGGCATTGACGATGTGATGTACTAGTACACGGCTTGCATCTCAGCGAAACCCCTGGAGCATGAGTTGTTTTGAGGGTGAAGGTCCTCGAGGAAGACGTATTAAGTTTCCCCGCTCACATTGCTGAGTGTTCGGAATCAATTGCTGGTGGTCTGCTTCATTTAATAGGCGTCGAGCATGCGTCATTGCTGTTACTCTTTTCCGATTCTTACATCTAACAATCCAACTTCTTGCGACTGTATTTCAGCCTCATTTCATGTATCTCTAACCAAAGCTGACGCTGGTTTTCGGAATACTGTATCATATCCACCACCCAAAACTCCCATCAAACGCAGAGCCATCGGCCAAATCGCCGCACCGTATCTCCTCGAACGTAGGCACAGTATTAGGCTTGTAGAAGCCCAACAAATTCTCCATATCCTTCTCCTCCATCTCCACTAGATCCTCCAAACTCCATTGTTCGCACACTTTGCTCATCCACCCCATCCTCTTTGGACCCTCTTCGATGTCTGGCGCCACTTTCCTCAACTTCTTCCTCAACATACCAACTTTCTGTACGGCCGCCCCAATATTCTTGGGCAGGTTCTTCGCAATCTGCTTCCGCACGATACTGGCCAGCTTCGGTCCGTTGCCGTTCGTAGACACCATGATCTGTAATGGCCCATCTCTGTGGACGCTACCGAAGTAGAAGTCGCATTCCGGAGGCACGTCGGCGATATTGGCCGCTACCTTTTTCTCTTTACACAACTTCCAAATGGTGGTGGATGCGTCAGGGTCGTCAATGGCTGTGAGAACCATGTCGACATTGTCCAGGTCTGACGGCTCAAACTTGCGGTCATGGTAGTCCACTTGGCCCTTTTCTATACGATATGCCACTTCTGGGTTGAGGCCACCGCGAGGGGATATGAGGGTTACTTTGGCGTCCGCGTTAAGGACGTTGAGAATGCGACCTGCTGCTACCTGGGTAGACGATGATCAGTCGCCACTGCTGGCTCAAAGAGAGAAGGTGCAGGGGACAGACTTCTCCCCCTCCCACCACGAGCACTCGCTTATTTCGAATCTGCCAAGCAAGAATTAGTGAGCCACCACCTTCAATAGCTGGAAAGTCCTCTGGCATTTTATAAAGCCTTAGGTATGCAAGAATAGTAGCAAAAGCAAAGAGTGGATTGAGGACCGCTTACGTAATATGCTATCGGCATTCGGCAAGTCCCGTCTCCGTTGGCTTAATAAATTGCAGATGCCCTCACTCGCGGGTAGCAGAAAAGCCTATACACCCTCGCGGGTAGTAGAAAAGCCTATACACCCTAGCCCGCAAGCGGCTAGAAGAAGCAAGATTACCTTATATATAATTCTATATATAAATCTATTTTTTTTTTTATTATTAAATATAATATTATCGCTAAATTATTACGCTTTTTAGTAAAAATAATATATTCTTATAAGAGATATTATTATTTATAAACACTTTTAAAATAATAAGTCTTATTAATAAATTTAAAATAATATAAAGATTTTCTTTAATATTACGCGTAATTAGTATTTTAAATATTTAAATAATTCTAATATATATAAATATTATTATTATTATAATCTCGATTATAAAAATATTAAAAAGCTTTATTAAAAATATTTAAAGTTTAGATATAAAAAATAAAGTTAATCTTAAAGCTCGAGATAATAATTATTTTATAAAAATTAAAATTATAATATAAGAATAACTTAATTTTAAAGTAAATTTAAAGATATTAAGCGATATAATTAAAAATAAATAGATTTAATATTATATTATAAATATATTATATATTATAAAAGCTAATATAATCGAAATTTAATTAAATATAGATTAAAATTTATATATATAAAATTAAAGAAATATTCTAATTTTAAAAATTAATACTTCGTTTAATTTTTTAATAAATATTATTTTAATTAGAATCTATAAAATAAATTATAAATTATTTAAAAATTAGATAAGAGATATTATTAGAATTATATATAATATATTAAGAAATTCTTTAAAAATAATAGCGAAAATTTCGATATTATATATAGATTATAATTAAATTTAATTTTAAATTTAATTTTATATTCTATACTATATTTATTAATAATAATAAAAAATATCTAAAAGATTTATTAAGATAATATTTTTAAATTTATTATAGTATTATAAGTATAATAAGCTCGTTAAAGAAAATTAATTTATTTATTTTAAAAGAGAATAGAGATTTAGAGTATAATATTAAGATTTAAAATTATATTATTAGAAGTTAAAAAAAAAAAAGATTTATAATATATAAAAATTATATTAATTTACTTAATTTAATCTTAATTAAAAATTATTAATAATCTTCTAAATAGAATCTATAAAAATTCTTATATTAAGATAATTAAATTATAAAGTATTATATTATAAATAATTGGAGTTTATCTTAAAGATTTTTATAGCGTTAATAGTTTCTAAAGGCTTTAACTATAATAGATAATAACGATTAAATAATAAATTATTAATAGAGAATAATAGAATTCTGTGGGGGCGCTTTCTTTATGTTGGTTATAGACTTTTCTACTATTCGCGAATACTCTAACTATATGGATACGCCTTCTTTCTAGAATTCTATTATTTTTTTATTATATCTTTATTTAATCGTTATTATCTATTTGTCTAAGCCTTTAGTTTTTTTTACGCTTTTATAATCTTTAATATTTTTTTTTATTATCTATATATATACTTGTATTTATTATCTTAATATAGAACTTTTATAGATTCTTTTAGAGATTATTAATAATTTTTATTAGATTAATTAGCGATTAATTAATTTCTATATATTATAATCTCTTTTTTTTAACTTTTTAATAATATAACTTTAAGTCTTATATTATACTCTAAATCTTTTTTCTTTTAGAATAATAATAATTTTCTTTATAAGCTTATTATACTTATAATACTATAATAATTTAGAATTTTTTTATAAATCTTTTAGTATTTTTTATTATTATTAATAGTTATATAAAATATAAATTAGATTTAAATTATTTATTTAGCTTATTAATATCATTTTTCTTTTTTTTGGATTTTTTAATATATTATATATAATTCTAATAGTTCTCTTTCTATTTTTAAATAATTTTAATTTTTTTTAATTCTAATTAAATAATATTTATCGAAAAATTAAACGAGTATTAATTTTTAAAATTAAAATATTTCTTTAATTTTTATATATAAATTTTAGTTTTTTTAATTAAATTTCGATTATATTATTCTTATAATATATAATATATTTATAATATAATATTAAATCTTTTTCTTTTAATTATTCGCTTAATATCTTTAAATCTATTTTAAAATTATTTTCTTTATTATAGCTTTATTTTTATAATATTATTTCTCGAGCTTTTAAATTAATTTTATTTTTTATATTTAAATTTTAAATATCTTTAATAAAGCTCTTTATATTCTTTTAATTAAATTATAATAATAATAATAATATTTTATATATTAGATTATTTAAATATTTAAAATATTATTCGCGTATATTAAGATCTTTTATTATTTTAATTTTTATAAAACTTATTATTTTAAAAGGTTTATAAATAATAATATCTTTTATAAAGTATACTATTTTTCTAGAGTTATAATTTAGCGTAATATTTATTTAATAATAAGGAAAGAATGATTTACGCGTGGATTTTTGGGCTTCTTCTGCCGCTTGCCTGTTCGGCTTTCTCCCCGCGCCTCACAAGGCAACACTGTCTCGCTGTGAGACCAAGGGCAAAATGTCTGCTCGGAAGCTCGGGGGAGGAAGAGTGCTGGGTAATGGGAGGCCTCTCTCACCAGCATATCCTCCGAGGAATCCTAACCTACTCTCGCCAACAGCCAGCTCTGTGTCCGTCAGTTCCTCCTCCCAACCTTCGACGGATGCCCAGGACCTAAGTTCCAGAATATCACTGGACCAGAGCGATGGAGATATCGCTGCAGCGGCTGCTCTGGCAGCGTCCACAAGACTCGCCTGCCCAATATGCAATGAAGAAATGGTAGGATTCGCCCCGAGGCACTAGGAAAGCGGCACACTGACTGGGCATAAGGTCACTCTATTGCAGCTGAACAGACATCTTGACGACACTCATAAGAATCTTGAGGAGGTCAAACAAAACGAAGCCAAGGATTGGTTCAAGACTCAAATGGTCAAGGCGAAGCGATTCCAGCCACTAGCCGTGCTCAACCAGAAGTTCAAAGGGTTGGATGTCTTCGAGTCGGACGACAGACCACAATCGCCCCAGCTACTGCCAACCGCTGCGGCTCCTGAGCCCTCACAGCCCGATCCTGAAGAACTCGTCACTCGAGCTCACTGGCAGAGACATGGACCGAATGACGCTTGCTCGGAGCCGGCATGTGGCAAGAGGCTTACATCGGCCAACGGCAATGTGAACTGCAGGAAGTGTGGGAAGCTTTTTTGTGATGAGCATACTATGTACAAGATGAAGCTCTCGAGGTCAGCCCAGCATGAGCCGGTAAGAGGTCTTTGGTGCAGGGTTTGTGAGACATGCTACAAGTCAAGAGAGGGCTACAACGACCGGAACGGCTACGAGCGAAACCACACTACCGATTTCGGGCATTTACGAAGGAAGACCGTTGATAAGACTTTGTTGGAAGTTTCCCGGCTGGAGAAGCGGCTCACGAAGCTTACACAGCTCCTAGCCAATCCACCAACAGAGAATATTCCTCCAGGAGGTGGCCTGCTTTGGTCTCTGACAGGCGCCAAAAATCAACGGAAGCAGACAGAGCAGTCCATAGTAGACTGGGAAGACGATGCTAGTGTTCAACGATGTCCATTCTGCCAGCAGGAGTTCTCAAGTTACACATTCAGGAGGCATCACTGCAGGCTTTGTGGCCGCGTGGTCTGTGGAGATCCATTGACAGATTGTTCGCAGGAAGTTGGACTAACCGTTGCTACCCGTACGTCACCCTCCAAATTCCTGGGTCTTCCCTGACTGACGTTTTCAGCGACTGCCAACGTGGCAGAGAAAGCTGTTAAACAAGTCGGCGTCGATGTTAGGATGTGCAAAGAATGCAGGACCACTGTTTTCAGCAGAAGTGACTTTGCAGCTGCCCTCGCACATAAGCCGCCAGACGTTCGAACATATGAGAATCTCATTCAATTCGAAAGAGGCATTCGACTAATGTTGCCAAACTTCCAGCGACTGCTGATGATTCTACAGTAAGTGCTCCTGATGATTCTAGAGCTACGTGGGCTGATAGTGTACAGAGACCCGGACAGGCCTCCATCTCAGGCCCAGCTTGCGGATGCTTCCAGAACGCGCAAACGGCTGGTTGACGCCTTTGGCCAGTACAATACTGCAGCTCGCCGAATCCGAGATCTGCCAACGGACTCGCCTACTCAGCAAAGGCTACAAAAGGCCATCTACCAACAAAGCTCCAATTTCCTTCAGATCCACATGCTTCCACTCAAGGCGCTCCCCAAGGTCCTTAAGCATGCCACAGCCCACGGTATTGGCTCCTCTGAACGTGCGCCACCCAACGGGAAATCAGCCGGTGCCCTTGCATCTATCAAATACAATGACATTGATAACGCGTCCCAAGTCAGCAGTAGCAGCGCTGTATCAGCTTTGGAAGCAGAGGAGAAGACGCTTCGCGAGACCCTCATAGTGCTTGAAGAGCAATTATTCCTTGTCAAAGAACAAGTAGCGGATGCTAACAAGCGGAGGAAGTTCGATGAAGTCAGCAGCCTTGCGCAGAATGTTGAGGATCTTAGCAAGGAGATTGACCACGTCCAAGGGCAACTTGGACAACTTGATTTCGCGGGTGCATACGGGGCGCAATCACCGAGGATTCTACCAGCAAGATGAACGAGGGACAAAGCCGCACCTTGGGAAGTGTCCAACGTTGAAAGACCTCGAGAAATAGAAAAGGTTGATTCAGGTCGGCTTATATACTGCACGACGCTGCCACATACTTTACATGAGATAACGTCGTTCATGCTATTCATCATTGCTCTCAAGTTCAACATTGCTTCAAGGGGCGGGCTGACCTCGTATGGAAATAAGGAAGTTGTAGCGTCATGTTCGAATTGTACCACCATTCCCATCTCCTCTTCTAATTGATCCTCCTCCCTATCTTGCGCTCGCTCAAACTCATCCTACTCGAATTACCACTGCATACAGGCGCACGAGAGCCGGCCAACTTCTCTTTGACCGCCTGGCTCCCTTCTATCGAATGGCATCTCTGACGGCATCGACCTTGGTTACACGACTCCAGAAGCCGTGTACCAAAAGCATGGAGCACGCCGATACTTTTTACTGACATGAAAACGTGATACCCTGGAAAAATTATTTCCCTTCATGAGATTGGCTCGTGAGATACGCAATCATATGTACCCATACCTATTCTCCACCAACCACACAAGGGAGAACAACGATGAGACCGAAGGGTTAGACCTTCTCTGTTCATTGGGAGTTCCAATTACCAAGGCAAGACGCACGCTGACTGTCGGAGGCAGAGTCACGGTCCCTAGTGCCCAGCCGTGGCACGTACTCTGCGATTGAGCTTACTCTGATCTTCCGTGGGCAGGCTGGCGAGTATTGTCCCTGTGTCCTCATGTTCGCAGGCGATGACATGATTAGCTTCTGCAGGGTTGTGTTGAGATTAGGGCTGTCCGGAAACCCCCAAAGCTCGTTGACGATCACGATCACGGGCGTTGCACCAACTACGACGAGCTTCTTGAAGCTTCTGGAGCCATTCCATCGCCTCCATAGCATGGCGCTAGTGAGGATCACTGGCCAAATTGAGTCTGGATATAAGTCAGACCTCATCACGAAGATGTCAAAGCAAGCACCAGCAATCGATACAATTTATTCAAGAGATTCAAAATGGCATTGAACAATGCGATCGCAAGCATTGTCGACTCCTCAACGACTATCTCAACACTCAGAAGAGTTTGGGAAGATAGTGAGGATCAAGGCCGGGCCAACCCATTTCAGAGAGCCTTCCATCACATCAGGTCCGATTTGGAAATTAAGCTTGCTGAAAACTATCTCAAACTTGAGAACCACAGCCAGGCGCATGAATGGATTAGTCTTATTCTGGCGCTAATCACTCCTTATCCCCCAGTACCTCGGAATCGTCCACGGGCCGCGGCGTGATATGGGGGGGCGACATATGCAAGCGTTTACTCACTCGCGGCACAGGCGAGTGAAGGGTTGGGATTGGTAGAGCGAGCTGTTGAGGAGATGAAAGCGGCAGTTTGGCACGATGCTGGAGACTCAAAACTGACTGCGGAGCTGGTACGCCTGGAGAGAAAGACGTAAAGTGGAGATGGGAATTGGAAGGTGCTTAAAGGAGGGTTGGGTGTATGGAGCATAGGTCAAGCATGGCGCAAGGAGCTGAGACCCGTGTTACATGATCAAAGCTCAGCGTCAATGATGCTGAGGCGGGTACTGTCGCAGTCTTGGGACTTCGGCGAATAGCAGGGTGTTTATGGCCTGTAGCCAGAAAACTGAGATCTCATGGAAAATGACTCTGAATCGTGACTTCCTCTCAGTAACTAGTCATCACGTCACATACTAAGATCCTACCCCTCAAATCCGGCAGGCACATTTGGCTGCACCCAGCATGCTGCTTGAACCTCGTCAACAAATAATTCGTACGTCGACACTCTTCCGCAACGATATCGCAACTGAACGCAGTCCTCCAGCTCCTCGAATCTTTGAAGACTTCTAAACATGCTTCCCACCCTTGTCACCCTGCTCTTCCTCCATCTCCAATTTTCCCTTGCTCTAAGCCTCCAGATCGGCAGCGTTCTTCCGAGACTCGTTAAGGATGTTTCGTCCAGCATCTTCGGTCACAGCGCCTATGTCGACCAGAAAGTCGACCAGACTCCTCGCTCGTTTCTCAATCATGAGCAATGGCATCAGCGTCATGCGGTCGCCTTCATGAACGCCTCATCAATTGCATATATGACACTCTCATCTCCCACTGGATTCGTGAGCACGAAGAGTCTGAGATCATCGCTAGCGTCAGCGTCAGCCTTCGCCAACTGCTCTAGCACCGCGAGTCTGGTGGTCTCAGCACTATCGTCAGCGCCGGCCTCTACAAGTTATTCGAGCACCATGAGTCTGGCCCTACCATTGTCCTCAGCGTCTGCCACTGCTCTCAAACCAACCAGTCTGGCTTCGCTCCTCGGTCACACAAAGGATCTTAAGACAGACACATTAGCACACTGGGACGATCAAACCGAGTCAGCATGCAGTACAGCTCTCATCGCTCTACACGGCGTCGCTACGAATCCATCTGGCATTGCAGCTTGCTACAACATTCAGAGCCTTGACAACTCTACAGGCATTTTCGAAGTCGATCTACGGCTCTACCGCATCTCTGCACCCAGCGAAGGATGGGTGAAGCTCAATCCTTCGAGCGTGGGTGTCGGACTGTCCTACGTCAATGCAACTGTATCTGCGACCAAAGCGAGGAAGTCCAAAAGGGAGGATCAGACGCTTCCTTGGTTCCCTGCCCAGAGAGATGAGGCTGCAGATATGTACATCCGACGATCTACTGGCGTTCCACCAAGAAGACTAGGAAGCATGACTTTCGTGGGCACTGTAGATGACGATGGACCATTAGCGGAGCTGAAGAACATGTGAGTAATGCATCTTACGCTGCTCCAAATAGTGGCTGATGGCCATGCAAAGGACCACGGCGTTGTCACTCCTCACCCCAGCGATTACACTCTCCGGCACTGAGCAGGATGGCACCTCACTCAACACTCGGCTGTCAAGCCAAGACGCATCCTTCGTCAACGGAGTCTTTGCAAGTACAAGGTCTGGAGGCTCCCAATCAGCAACAGGGACGGATGTCAACGAGTCCATGCTGCCCGGCATTAAGCTGGTCGGCTTCCCCATAGGCCTTGTCATCAGCAGTATCTGGGCTGTGCTGTACTTGATGACAATGGGATATGGGACGATCAGCAGGTATCAAGCGAGGGAATCATACAGGCGAAGAGTCAAGAAGAGGTTCAGTGGTGATACTATTACCAAGAGGAGGATGAGATGGGCTTGAGACTAGTGGATCCTAGATGACGGGTTTCTTCGGAATGACATCTAAGCAGCATGATTCCTGACAGCACGAATTTGGCAGGTATATTTTTCGACTGTCTCTAGGTTTTGGTGGACAGCTATGGCAGAATAAGATACAGGACAGACAGGTACAAGATGGGGAAGAAAGCTTTCGTCCCCTTGTCTCACGAGCGATATCTATCCTTTCCTATCGATAAGCTTGTGGGGGGCACGGGGATATTTTGCGGAGAATGTTGCGCTCTAGAACACTTGTAGTCGAGAAGGCTGAATAATCACAGATCAAAATGCATCGATTGGTCAGACCTTAAAATAGAGATCTAGTGAAGTACATAGTACCTTGGTGTTTCGAGATCCCCCCCCGAGGCTGTGTGGCAAAGCGGCTGGTGATGACATAGCTGCGACTCAAAATTCTTTCCGACCCTTCTTGGTTGCTCGAGAAGATGCTTTTGACCTTTACCATTCATTCATTCAACACAACTGGGAAATAATGATTCAATGAAAGCGATAGCGTTGTGTAGCCTAGACCTTGCCGTATCTGTAGAGCCCAAGAAGATGCCAATAATATCTTCTTCCTAGCTGTTGCAAGTGGGTAATTCGATTCCAGACTCGGGCAGGACTTTGGCGGTGAGAAAATCGTTTCGGCTGTTGCCAGCGAATCATGGACTTACCGTTCCCGGCCTAGCCTCAAAAAAATTCCACCACAAATCTTTTAAGAAAGCGCCAGCCTCACCAGATCCTTCTCCTTTTCTTCCACCCTCTCCTCTCTCTCTTTCTCACTCATAGACTGTGTCTCTTCTTTCAATAGACGCATTTGTTGCATAATCCACTTAGAGTCACATAGAGCACGAATTCGCGTGGCCTTCATCTGTCCATACCCGACTTAGATTTCACTTGAACGCCGCGTACATCACCCACAAACCGTTCGCCTCCTAATCAGAGTCCATTCTCCCATTTGTTGAGTACACCGAACACAACTACAAACCATGCCCTCTGTCGACGTCATGGACAGCGCACCCTCGAATCCTGCTACTCAGAAGAGCGAGAACCAAAAATCCGTCAAGGTGCTCGATGAGCTGTTGAACAAGCTGACCATCTCGAAGACTGCGGATGAGACGAGCGCTGCTGCGGGCAACATCGCTACTTTCATCAATGGAGACATTGAGGAGCATGATGCTCCCACGAAGTGAGTTCTACCACATTTTCTACGACCACAGCTTTTCCGGATCTGGGACTTTGCCACGGTCGCAGGTTCTAGAAACCCTTCTCCATAACCGAACCCTTGCTGACAACTTTCTCACGCAGAGCGGTCGCAGTCTTAAAGCAGCAACTCGCAAATAAGAAAGACGCAGGTGCACGAGAACGTGGCCTGAACACCATCCGGGCCATTGCCCAGCACTCCTCGATATCCGCAAATGTCGAACCATACTTGGTGGCGCTCCTCGCGCCGACTCTCTCGGCCGTTGGTGACAAGATGACCCCAGTCAAGACCGCCGCACAAGCAGCAGCTCTCGCGATAGCGAAGGCTATAAATCCCAACGGTGTCAAGGCCATCCTACCTCCGATCATTCACTCGATCAGAAATGCTCAGAAATGGCCCGAGAAGATGACTTGCCTGCAGTGCATCGAAGCACTTGTCGAGTCCGCACCAGCACAACTTGCCTACCGAGTCCCAGACCTGATTCCGGTCGTCTCAGAAGCAATGTGGGATACCAAGGCTGAAGTCAAGAAGGCTGCATATGGTACCATGGAGAAAGTCTGCAATTTGATTGTGAACAAGGATATCGACCGCTTCATCCCCGAACTTATCAAATGTATCGCCAAGCCAGAAAATGTCCCCGAGACCGTCCATCTCCTTGGTGCCACCACCTTCGTCACTGATGTTCACGAACCAACTCTGGCTATCATGGTTCCTCTCCTCGACCGTGGTCTTGCAGAGCGCGAGACAGCTGTTAAGCGAAAGGCCGCTGTCATCGTTGATAACATGTGCAAGCTTGTCGAAGATCCCAACATCGTGGCCGCTTTCTTGCCCAAACTCATGCCTGCCCTGCAGAAGAACTACGATAATTTGGCTGATCCCGAGGCTCGTGAGAAGACAAAGCAAGGTCTAGAGACTCTGGTCCGTGTCGGAAACGTCAAAGACGGCAAGATCCCCGAGAAGTCCCACGCTGGTGAAGTCACGACTGTCCACGGTGTTCTGAAGCAGATCCTGGAGCCTTCGCACAAGGACGCCGTGCACAAGTTTGGCCCAGTGGTAGAATACATCGCAGCCATCGCTGGTCAATTGATCGATGAGAAAGACAATGACTCTGCTAGCTGGACTGAAAACACCCTCCCATACATTACAGCTATTGTTGGCGACAAAGATGCTAGAGGAATTGCCGATGCTCTTCGAAAGCGCGCATCTCCAGGTGCAGTTGACGAAGCTGATGATGAGGAAGATGACGAGGAAGGCGAGGACCTTTGCAACTGCACATTCAACTTGGCCTACGGCGCTAAGATCCTCCTGAATCAAACACATCTCCGTCTCAAGCGCGGTCAACGCTACGGTCTTCTCGGTCCCAATGGTTCTGGAAAATCCACCCTCATGCGCGCGATCAACAACGAGCAAGTCGAGGGATTCCCAAAGAAGGACGAGGTCAAGACCGTCTTCGTCGAGCACGACCTTGACTCGGCCGATACCGAGCAAACCGTTATCGGCTGGACCATGAAGAAGCTTGGTGACGTTGGCCTGACCATTGAGAAACCTGCGGTCGAGGCCAAGCTTGAGGAATTCGGGTTCTTCAAAGAGCAATTTGAGGGTCCCATCACCGCGCTATCTGGTGGCTGGAAAATGAAGTTGGCTCTTGCCCGTGCCGTCTTCGAAGACCCCGACATCCTCCTTTTGGATGAGCCTACCAACCATCTGGATGTCAAGAACGTCAAGTGGCTCGAGGACTACCTGACCAATTCGCCCTGCACATCGATTATTGTGTCGCACGACAGCAAATTCCTCAACAATGTCATTCAGCACGTTATCCACTACGAGCGCTTCAAGCTGAGGAGATACCGAGGCAACCTTGGCGAATTTGTGAAGAAGGTCCCATCTGCTCGCTCATACTACGAGCTGAGTGCCTCCGAAATGGAGTTCAAATTTCCCGAGCCAGGTTTCCTCGAGGGTGTCAAGACCAAGGCCAAGGCCATCGTCCGTGTCAACAACATGACCTTCCAATACCCAGGTACCAGCAAGCCTCAAATCCAGGACATCACTTTCCAATGTTCGCTCGGCTCCCGTATCGCTGTCATTGGTCCTAATGGTGCCGGCAAGTCTACTCTCATCAACGTCCTTACCGGAGAGCTCATCCCTACGATTGGTGATGTTTACACGCACGAGAACATCCGTATTGCCTACATCAAGCAGCACGCCTTCGCCCACATTGATCACCACTTGGACTTGACTCCGTCAGAGTACATCCAGTGGCGATTCCAGACCGGTGAAGATCGAGAGACGATGGACCGCGCCAACAAGATTGTCACCGACGAGGACGAGAAGGCTATGGACAAGATCTACAAGGTTGACGGCACACAACGACGAGTCATTGGCATCCACTCTCGAAGAAAGTTCAAGAACTCCTACGAGTATGAGTGTTCCTTTGTTCTCGGCGAGAACGTTGGCCAGAAGAACGAGAGGTGGACTCCGATGATGACTGCTGACAACGCCTGGATCCCACGTACCGAAATCCTTGTTTCTCACTCCAAGATGGTTGCAGACGTCGACCAAAAAGAAGCTTTGGCAAGCGGACAGTTCCGTCCATTGGTCCGAAAGGAGATCGAGGCTCACGGCGCTAACTTTGGTCTCGATGCTGAGCTCATCTCCCACTCACGTATGCGTGGTCTCTCCGGTGGGCAGCGTGTCAAGGTCGTGCTTGCTGCCTGCTCGTGGCAGCGACCTCATTTGATCGTTCTTGATGAACCGACCAACTACTTGGACCGTGACTCCCTGGGCGCTTTGTCAAAGGCTCTCAAGTCATTCGAGGGTGGTGTCATCATCATCACTCACTCGGCTGAGTTCACGCAGAATCTGACTGAAGAGGTAAGCTACTATTCCGACCATCTTGTCAAGGTGTACAGACGCTAATATTATTACAGGTCTGGGCAGTCATGGACGGTAGGATGACGCCTTCCGGTCACAGCTGGATCTCGGGCCAAGGCTCTGGTCCTCGCCTCAAGGAAGACGGCGAAGAGGAAGAGCGCTTTGACGCCATGGGTAACAAGATCGACTCAACGAAGAAGAAGGTCAAACTATCTTCTGCTGAGCTGAGAAAGAAGAAGAAGGATCGGATGGCCAAGCGCAAGGCTGGTATTGAGGTCTTCTCTGACGAGGAGTAGAGAAGTGGAAATTCCAAAGTCATTGGTAGCATGGTGGTTTCGCATGTTTTCCTTGTGTAGCAGGCGTTGGAGAAAATGGAGGATGCGAAGATGAAGATGGCACGCGGAAATGACATCGGAGTGTTCAAGGGCGACTTCGGCCGCTGCCCACGGTGTTCATGGATGCTGCATAATGTTTTTCTTTAGACCGTGTGCGACTGGTTGCATTTATTTGACTCACGCACTAGATTTAGATGGAGGATAGATGATGGGAAAACAAGTAGAATGTTCCAATCCGATCTCGAAAAAGGGGCCCATCTGTCGTGATACTTTGCCCTATCAAACGTTCGATTCTAGCATGGTCTACTATGCAGGACTCGGTCTTAGAGTGGGATATCCGTGGTCCATCGAACGAAGATGTCCGCCGCAAGCAGAACACAGAAGATTTCACGATGGAGCCATTCATAAATGCACCATGGCTTAACTGATGAGAACGTACCAGAGCTTTTATTTCTGGCCTGCCTCATTGACAAGTACATCTAATCTACTCATCCACTAGTCCAGCAATCTGTTGATGTTTCGTCTCTACCGTACTTACACTCCTGGGGGCAACGATGCCGAGACTGCCAAGATCACACCGAGGTCGGCCGAGAGTTGCCAAGCGTCGGAGATCGGAAACAGGAAGGTGCAGAATGAATGGATGATGCAAGGTTTCGCCTATTTCAGGTGTCAAGGGCTCATCGAATGTATCCCTGTAATCAAGGGCGAATGAAAAGGCTTGACTGGGATTGTTACCCCACCAGTGGCTTGACTGGTGCTGATGGGGCTGCTTGAAATCAAATTGTTTTATCCATTATCATTTATTGATTGATTTATCTTTCTTTTTCATTGACTCCCCACGTGTCTTTCATTATTTCCTCTCTCGTGTCATCATCATTAAATATAATTGTATCTATAACGACCTTATATATTCCCTGCATTAACGTTGCCTGATTGTCGTTATGAACACCTTTTTTCTTCCTTCCCCTCAGCGATTGGTCCCTTAATGTTTACTTTAAGCTCTTGCGACACGTCCTCCTCAAGACCCTTTCACCTATCCACCACACTCGTTACCACTTGTGGCACTTGAGACCATCCGGGGTCAATTGCAAGTCGTCTGTAGATGACATCTTCGACTTGATGAAGCATTCACTAGACTACGTACAAGCCATAACCACCAAGCGACCACGTCATTCAAGAGCCGAGCTGCCCTGACAGAACACAAAACCGAGGATCCAGCGTGTTCTCCTTATAAGCTAGGATGCTGCTTGGCGGTCGCACCGTAGTCATCGTGTTCCTCCTCTGCAGCTCCCTCGTCCTCTTACGCCTCCGCCATCACTCTGATTCTCCACATGTACATGTGAAAGCCGGCGGCCAGACGAACCAAGGAGGATGTTCGGGAAGGCTCGCACGGCTGAATGACCTGGGCATCAAATTCCCTGTCAAATATGCTAGCCGCGACATAATCATAAAAGCTAATTCAGACCTCAACCGGACTTCTCTCACCCAGATTGATGCTCCCTTACTGTCAGACGTACAGATGCTTGACCCCGTCAAAAATCCTGATGGGGAATTGGAACAATGCTCCCCTTCGCTGACATTGGAGGTACCCGCTTTCCCAGGGCAACCTGCTAATGCTTCTCATATCATATTCGGCATTTCGACATACATCAAGCGCATGGACGATTCAATACCACACCTTCAAAGATCGCTAGCTTACACCAATGCCCGGCTTATCATCTTGGCCGTAGATTTTGGCGAGGTGACGCCAAGCCGCAAAGAAATGGCAGTGCTGGAAACTCGCATGCATGGCCTTGGTATAGACGCTACGGTCCTTGGAGCACCAAAGGATAGCTCGATGCAAACTCGATACTTCTCTCTGGCCAAAATCCTGTACGAACGAAGAGATTCTAAAACTCAATGGATCTCCCTTTTGGATGATGATACCTTTCTACCTTCAATGCACTCATTAGTCGACACACTTGGCACCTACGACTCGTCAAAGGAATGGTATCTCGGTGCCATGTCGGAGGATTGGTGGTCCGTCATGGTCTACGGCATGATGTCTTTTGGTGGAGGGGGCACGTTTCTATCAATCCCACTAGCGGCTCAGATCAACGCCAATTATGACACCTGCTTACAAGAATCAACCGCGAACCAGGGAGATATCAGGGTTTTCCAGTGTATTACGGCACATACCACAACAAAACTTCAGCCTCTAACCGGACTCCACCAAACCGATCTGGGTGGTGATCTCTCCGGTTTCTATGAAAGCGGCCGCTTGCCGCTCTCTCTACACCACTGGAAGACGGGATGGCATTTCGAGCAAAAGCCTGAACAGAGAGCGCTGAATACGTACCCCATGGCAAAGATGCATCTTGTGTCCGACGTCTGCGGTGACTGCTTCCTGCAACGATGGCAGTTTGGCTCCGACACGATTCTGAGCAATGGATTCTCGATCTCGACATACCCAAATCAGAACTTCCTGGCTGATCTTGTGAAGAACAAAGACATGGACAAGATAGAGGATACATTCATGCCGACCCGGGAGGTCAATTCATTCATGCAGGGCTATGAGCATTCTATTGGCCCGCTGAGGCCCAGAGTCGAGGGGAAGATCCAGTACAAGTTATTAGATGCCAAGGCGGAGGATGGAGGTGTCAGGCAATACTACATCTACAAAGCTTTGGATGAGGAGCCGGATATCCTATATGAGATTTTCTGGACCAGGAACGAGACTCATGTCTGAGCAACATCTGTCGTCTCAGAGCAAGTCATGTACATCATGCCGTGGAATCAAGCCTTTGCCAAGTCGGGAGGAAAACCAGGAGCGCCGGTCCTTGTTCCTTGCCGCCAAGTCTTGAGGGATTTGCGAATAAGAGAGAACCCGACCAGACTTCCGCATTGTGACAGTTCGCCACGTCTTGTCTTTGAATTTGTCTTCTTTGACGCCATGGATTCAGATACCTTGAGAGCAGCATTGCTGGCCGCCTCATCCCAAGGTTACCTCAAGTCGGGGTAGCAATGAGTGCGATGTAACGACCGATACACGAGAGCGCAAAGGATATTTAGAAACGAATTTTGGAGGTTTTGGGAATTTTGGGAATTTTGGGAGTTCAGGGCCAATTCTGTTCGGATAAATAATTTTATTGTGTGTATAAAAGCTTTCATAGAAGGTGGCCGCAAGCTGGTAAGCCGGCGGACTATGTATGAAGTATGACTCAAATGAAAGGCAGGAAACAGAGACCATTCTCACGGTTACCGTGCCCTCTCAGCCTGCGGACAGCGGGGACAGAGTCTTCAAAAGCATGCCAAGAATGAACTGCCAAGCTCACCAAGGGTGGCAGTGACTCTTTCGCAACAGACCAGGCTTTCAGCGAGGCCTCCAAATCTCCAAGGCTCCAATAATCAGCCTGCGTAAAATCTCGACTCCGCCTTCTCCGCTCACTGCCCGGTCAACGGATAAGAGCCGCTCAGCGGCAGCGAGCCTCGCTCAACGTCACCGTGGCGCTAGCGTCAGCCCTATCAACAGCTGCGCCTGCTTTGCTAAGCGATGACTCTAATCTCTCCAGCCTTCCTTATCCTTCTACAAAACTCACATCATATCTGTCTGAAAAACATTCGTCTCCTTCTACAACCTCAGAAAAACAAGTAAACCAAATTCCGAAGCAATCGGACATCCTACTCAACCATGGGAGATCCGTACCGCCAAAATTCCGCCTACGACTACCCCACCACCACTACAACCCACGCCCCTTACAATCCCACCCAATACGCTCCTCCAGCAGCAGACCAGTATGCCGGCGCCCTAACGACTCGTCACGGCTCTACAGCCAGCAGCTACTATCCCTCCCAATCGAACATGCAACTTTCGCAATCCTCCAACCGCCCTCCTGACTCCGACTACCTGGACCCAAACCGCCCTCGCAGCGGCCACAGGCACGGGCACAAATCCCGCGACCATTCGCGCCATGGTAGAGACGCCGACCGTGACGACGATGGCCACCGTGGCCATGGGAGGGATAGGAGTCGCTCCAAGAGCCGCGGTGCGGAATGGGGCGCCACTCTCGCCGGCGCGGCCGCCGGAGGTTTGCTGGGGCGCAAAGCGGGACACGGTGGCAACCTAGGCACGGTCGGTGGGATCATCGCCGGCGCCGTCGGCGCGCACGAACTGGAGCGCGGATACGAGAAACGGAAGGAGAAGAAACGGCTGGAAGACCCATACGCGGAGGAGAGGCCCTCGAACCACAGGCGCAGATCTAGCGGCGGATTGATCGGCGGGATGAAGGATAAGGTCGAGGGATTGCTGAATCCGGACTCGGGGAAGGAAAAGAGGCGGTCGAAGAGTCATGTCTCTTCGAGCCGGAGGAGCAGGGGCTATGATGACTACAGCGACGATGAGTACGATGATCGGTATGATGGCAAGAATTCCGGGGGCGGAAGGAGTAGACGGGATGATTATTACTGAGGAGGGAGGCTAATGCGAGGGAGAATCGGGATGGGGTTTCAGATCTTCGGGATATGGGTGGTTTTAGTTGGCATTGGCGGTAACGATTTATAATGACACGACTTTCTCCCATAGTGTAAGCGATAGTAGTAATAATCCACGATGGAGAAATGTGCCCGCACGGTTTCCGAAAATCGATGCTTCAATCAACGCATGTTCGATAGTCTCAGCCGGTAGTGGTCCACCTGTAATCTCTTCCTGCTCCCACTTCCCCTTCCAAACGAAGCATGCCATTTCCGCAGAACCCTTCGCCGAGAAAACATCAAAACACCACCCCAACCCCACCCACCCAACGCCCCAAACACTCCCAATCCCAATCCCAATCCCGTCCCACCTTCCTTCCCATCTTCCGGAATCCCCACCTTCCCTCCCTTTGTCCCGGATCCTCACCCGATGCAACCGGCTCAGTAAACAATCGCTGCACATCGCCATGAGTAAGGTATCGTATCGTATCGTATCGTATCGTATCGTAGGCGCCCTTAACCAGTCTAGCGCCAATAATTTGAGCACTACTTTAAGGTACCGTACACGCGGAATAATAGACCGGGCTTAGTTTACTTGTATGATAATGGTTTTGGGACGCAATGGCCGGTTCTTGATCAGGTTTCACGGACGTTAGGGTAGTTATTATTACTTTTTGCTGTTTGTGGCGCTTGCTACGGGCTAGACCACTACCCAACTGGCGGACCTCTGAGTGAATGGGCAGAAATTATACAGTATCCAGGAAATGAAGGTATTTCAAAGCTGGTCGAGGTCCGAATCCCATGTCCCCTCCACACCAACAGCACCGGCAGCATGAAAGAACCCAATGCAGAAGAAAGCGGCCATGCCAAACAACCCATCCAACACCGACTGCCTTCTGCCATGGGGTGACAGAAACCGGAACTGCGAGTCCGAAGGTCAAACGGTAGGCTCCCATCATCGCACTCGTCTCGAGAGCGTGCTGCCGGAAGCATTCGATCACTTGGTTGACTGCCACAGGCACTAATAATATCGCTGGGAAGGTGATGACGATAACGCCTAAGGCGAGGACCATGTAGTGATTATGATATTGGAGCGCAACGCCGAAAACCCCCAAGCCAATTGGGCAACAGCATGAGCGAAGGCAGCCACAGAGTATGCAACCTATATTCCGGCCTCCACGTCCCCCCCCATATCTTCCAGATAGCCAAACAGGAAGCCAGTCATTGAGATAATGCCCGTATACTTGGGCGAGTATAATACCGCACCAGAGACTGAAGGTAAATTCGGCATTCTGCTGTGGTGGGAACCCATATCCACCCTTTTTGTCGGGCTCTTGGAGGAAGACGGTGAGGGGTGTATTGATCATGACATCTCACCCGAACGGGAGTAAATGGAAGGTACCGGCCAGAATGGTGACCGGAGATAAACGAATCGCAAAAGGGGCGGTCGCGGAGTGAGACTAGTGTGGTGGGTTGGTGCATTCTGCAGAGAGCTTCGATGTCGATGGTATCTCATAACTTCAGCGCGACTCATAGCCGGCACAGCTTTGGTCCCGATGAAGAATGTGGCAATCCTGTTTGCTATCAAGGTTTTTGGTGTCGCGGTGGAAACCCTTCTCCTCTAGAAAGAATGATACAAGTACCAAGGCTATACCCTGGAGCCCGCGTCCACCAAAACTCGACCGGCAGTCCACATGCCCTACAATGAAACCGCCGAACGTAGAACCCGTGATAGTGCCCAACAGCAAACTCAGCGAAAAGATGAGGAAGACCTTGCCTCGCTCATGCAAAAAGAACTGGTCGGCGAAAGTACTTGCGCCTAGTATGGATGGTACAGTAAATAACAGAGCCAAACATACCCGCGAAAAGTCGAGATGCGATGAAAGGGTTGTATTCATTCGAGTCGGTCATAGAGGCCGCCCAGATGTTGCATGCCACCGCTCCAAAAAGACTCCACCAAGTGGTCGAGCATCTACCGATGATTTTCGTGAAAGGTACAGAAAAAAACTGTCAAAGGCGAGACCAGCCACCGCTGCAGATATCTTGACAGAATCTGGTCAGTGGTCCGTGGCAAACAACAATCCGTTCAAGAAGATGAAGAATATTGAGTAGGACATCTCGACCGGAGTTTTGGCATAGAGTTTGCCTTGAACTTCAACAGCCAGCTAGTTAACTAGCGAACTTGGAGTCGTGGCGAAGGCGGCGGGACGTACCTTAGTGTTGCCAAAATGGTATACTTCTTGCGCTGTGGTCAATTCTATTCCACTGTCCGCGATCAGTACTTGCGATAGCTAGACCGATTGGGCTGGAGAGGCTGTACCAATGCGTCAAGGTGATCACTTGTGGGGCGCGGGACAAGCAGAATATTTTGCCTGCCCATCTTTTTGCCTTCAGGCATGAGCTGCATCCATTATGGTGATGTAGGACTTCTGCTTCTCCACCGAGTCATTCACTCTAGCATTTCCGTGGCCGCTTCTCATCTTCGGACGTGCTTTCGATCGTATATCAGGCTCATCTTCACTTTCGGCGGCAGCCGTGATGATGGGAAGTTCAGGGGAACACCATTTTGAGGCAAGAACTGAAAACGTGTATGTACATCCGTTCGCTGGACCTGGTTCTAGGGCCGCAATCCATTGCCAAGCTTCGGTCCTTTGTATACAAACCCTCGACTCAAATGCCCTTAAAATCCTCCTTGGTCGGAACCATAGATGTCCATGCGCATTAGTGTCGTGCACCCCGACCGAATCAGGGTTTGCTCACGGCTCGCGGCTCATTCCTCGAAGATGATCTTGGAACTTGGTCGCAGACTCACCCCCCCCCCGTATGTACCCTCCTCCATCGAGCGAACAGTTTGGTCCGCACTTCTTGAATGGTCGAGAGAACGGAGATGGGCCCGGGAAGAAGGGTGAGATGGCGGGAGGCTGTAATGCATGCGTGGGATTTTTGGGGGGTGCCATCAGATAGGTGTACCCATGGTCGGTCGTGGTTACCTACCTTTCTCGTTCGGGTTTTGGATCGAGTTGCTGCACCAGGGGGAACATGGGCTTGGTGGCCCCGGCCAACCGACGCTCTGCCCGCTCACCTTTGGGTTATGGTCACGTCACGATCGGCACAGTTTTACTCTACAGCAATACGTATACGATGTTGGTAGTCTGCGTTTCGCAATGAGCATGTTCTCTTCTATCGGCATGGGCGGTCTACTCATTCCAAGCCATGTGCTTTGAATCGTCGTTTGGTATGGTCTGGACGTCTTTTGGCTGTCGGGCGGTGCATTCCCATGCCTTATCTGCCAATTGCCATCGGAAATTTTTGGCCTACGTCAACTGGGGCTGCGTCTCCGCCAGACATCGTCGATCTCTGCTAACGGGAGAGAAACAAGGCTGAGGAGACTGCCCAAGCCATGAATGATGAGGCGGAGTGTGCTTTGCTGGAACACGCATGCTGGCGTGGGCATATATGTACAAATTACGCCAACGCAAGGCTCTACTGCCAACAAATAGAATCATCTGGTCAATATCGGGGACACCACATGAGATTCAGCATCAAGAGACGAGGTCGCGCTGAGACACATTTACAACTCATCTTCCTCTTCCTTTGACATTATCCGATGCAGGCATATGCAGTTCACCCTTTCTGCCACACTCTTCCATGCGCTGTCAGCCTTGAATTCCACATGATAGAAACCTTCCTTCATCGGTCTCCGCAAGCAGCATGACCCCAAAAGGCTACAGTATCCCTCCATCTGCACTGGCCCGATGCAGTCTCGTCCACGTAGCCAGATGATCAAAGTTTCGACATTGGTGCTGTGTGCCCCAACCATCCACACTAGCGATCTTTGCGCCATCAGGCCCATTCTGCAAGGTTTCCAACGTCTTGTCTGACGCGCACATAAGAGCTTGGCGGAGGTTGTCGAAACAGTGCTTCCATATGATCGGGTGAGTGATGATGATGCGATGTGTGATTTGCTGCGCATGTGATTGGAGGAGGGAGCATCAGCTGTTGCAGAAGTAGCGTGGGCTGTGTAATACCCTGTTCGTAGCTCGTTCTTGATCCAATCATTATGGACCATTCCTAACAATATCGGTGCAGATTGAGGACGACACCCCAAGCGGTGAAGTTGGTGGAACGTTACCACCGATCTTATGTGTTCTACGTCTAGTCTCTTGCCTGCATATTCCACAGGCTTGACGTGGGAATCCACAGCGACAAAGCCTCTGCCTACTAAGAGATAGTTCTTCAGCAGTCTTTGTCTTAGAGGAGTACTGAAAGCCACTTACAAGGTATGAGACGACTCCATGCCCGATCAGTCTTCGGAGAAGGCGCCTTGACAAATGTGTCGTGTGATCTGAAAGTGATGGCAAAAGGAGCAGGACCGACTATGAAGTATAGCAAAGATCGGTCAGACCTTGGTTTAGAAATCAAGCCGAAGAAAAGTTCCTTGTCCCCTTACCAATGCTCCAAGAACCGAGACGCTTCGGGTGATTGGATGCATGTGCTCCCACTCAGAGACCCAGAATGGCGCAAATTGCGCAGCTCAAGAAAGTCACATGTGGAAGTTTCTTGCTGCTGCAACGGTGGCGATGCGAAGGAACGAGCCTATCGTCTAGCAATTCCTCGGTGAGATCGTAGTTCGCTCTCATCCGCCTTTGAAAGTGCCATGGCATACAGAGAGGTGCGAAGAAACAAGGTTGCTAGGAAGGATTTTGGAGGATGCAAATTGCAGCTGCGACCGACTAATGTATAGAGTATCGATGCAGGCACATGCAATGGCTACGTCACTCGCTATCAGGGGGGTCAAGGTTTGGAAAACCACACTTTTGATGCTTTCACTCGGTTCCTTTTCAGGTTTCACGATATCCCATGAGCTTGGCACAGAGCTGTTCCATTGTATTGGATTGCCAAAGCTAGTTACCCAACGACCAGAGACCACATAAACCCTTTCGGTCTACCGTGATCTGAAACAAACTTCTCCGGGGACGCGATCTTGAGATTATCTGG